ATTTTCAAGAAATGGGTCTTGACAAGAAAATGTCATATTTCTGATTTTAGGATCTCCGCTCTTCCCCGACTTTTTCCTCCCAGCTCATCTTTACGATAAATTGGCAAAGGATTTCGAGAAATCCCGCAAAGACGGCTCTTCGAAAAAGTCGAAGACGTCATCAAAGGTTTCTATTTTAAGCTTGAAATGATCAGAAAATGGTCGAATTTTTATTCAAAAATTAATAGATACAGTTTCTCACGCTGATAAAATTTTCGAAAAAGAACTGTGAAAAAAAATTTTTTAAAAATTCAACATTTTCCCGTTAGAATTTTTTCCTAATGGTAGATAGAGCTTCTCCGAACGATCTGGAAAAAAATTTTTTCGAAATTTTTTTCCGAGCTTACAAGGATCTCTATTTACGCTGGAATTTTCTAAAAATTGGCCGAAGTTTCTAGAAATCTTAACTCACGAAAATTACTAGATTTTAAAAAAGGAATATCAAAAAAAGGTGGAAAAAGTCCTTGAAATAGACCTCAAGTTTTGAAAAAACATTTTTTCGCAAAATTTTTCGTGTTGAGACCTCCAGAATCTTCATTTGGTCACATCGAAGATTATTTAGACAGTTTTCAACAAATAAATACGGTTCATTAAATAAATTATATTCGGTGCAAGATTTTTATATGTATTTTTTTGAAACTGCTTTTTTTCTTATAAATTTATATAAATTTCGAACTCCAGAGTGGCCCCTAGAGGAGTTAGAGGACTGAATAGTGTACCCTAGAGGGGTCGAATTTAGGTTGTCCCGGTTCGGTTTAGGATCTGATCTTCAAGCCCCCAAAGCTTAAATGGTCCCTATAGGGGTCTTTCAATTTGTTCAGGTTTGAGGATTAAGGAGACTTAATTTATAAAATTTGATCAATTTATCTGGTTTTTTTCAAAAAGCCCCCCGTCCTCTAGGGACCACTCTGGCGTTCCTAAGGTTTTTTTCTTCGAACGGCGCGCTTTCTCAATTTTTTTCTCACGGACCGCATTTTTGAGAATAAATTCAGAATCAGCTCAAAAAAAATCTTGCATTTAGCGAAAAAAATGATTAAATAAATATTTCTATAAAATTTAATTCCAGACAGCCCCAGAAGTCGACGCCGAAGTGCAGCAAATCGTGAAAAAAATGTCAAAAGTTTGCTCTCCCCAGAACTGGTCAAGGGTGTCGGCAAAGTCTATCAATTCAATCTGACCGGTAGAAATATATCTTTAATTTGATGCCAAAAAGACAAAAAAATTAGGCGATTTGAACAAATCGATCGTTTTGGACTTGAAAAACGGCGACGGATCGATCCACGACGGCGAGAATAAGGACGCCAATGTTGTGTGAGTTTTCGGAGTGTTTTCAGAAAAAAAAAACTGATAAATGCCGCCCTATTAAAGGATCATCGTAAGGCGCGATAAAAAAAATCGGCGTGGAAGTTACTGTATAGTGAATTCCGCGCGTAGTTGTCAAGTTTTTCCAGGAAAAAAAAATCTAGGAGAACTGTATAAAAAGCTTTTTCGCGCCTTCGCTTCAAGACCTGTAATCTAAAGGTACTGGAAAAAAGTGACCACTAGAGGCTGGCCAAGGACTGCTTGGAGAGGACACCAAAGTGGCCACTATTTCCCGTTTTAGTGGCCACTTCAGTAGTTTTTCATCCAGTATTCCTTCCAGTAACTCTGATAACTTTGAAACAAACAGATTGGACCAGTTATGTTGATCCATTGACCCCCTAAAGTGGCCACTGAACATTTAAGTGGTTTAGTAGTAGCACTTAGATCCCTATAGTGGCCACTAATTTTTAGCCCCTTAAGTGGCCACTAATTCGACTACTATAGTGGCGACTGAAGCGTCCAAACCCTATAGTCGCCACTAAAAGTTTCCACAGTATACGGTATTTTCGGCAGACGTTATAAGACTATAGCCACGGGGGCGGAAACAGTTTCATCTGAACAATTTATTGATTAGTCACCAAATAAATCGGAAAAAAGTCAGTTTCACGATGGCGGCGACGGATTTCGCGCCGATGTTCGACGGCCGTCTCAAGCCGACGGTGGCCTTCATGTCCAAGAAGCTGGAGATCAAAGGCGACCTTCCCGCCGCCATGAAACTTGAAGGCGTCCTCAGGAAATTCGTCAAATCTAACTGATTTTTTCTAGTTTATTGTATAGTTTTTTTTAACTCGTTTCATGTGCCAAATGTTCGATTGTCTGTATTGGGAAGGTAAATATTCGCATTTTTTCCTTTTTTTCATGGGGAAAGGGTTTTTCTTGAATAAAAATCATCTTTTTAAGGGAAAATAAGCTTTTTGATGTTTCCAAGAGTGATTTGAATTTTTTTGAGTTTTCAATAAATGAACTTTTTTTCATCTGTCTTTCTGAAACCCTAAAAAATCTGAATAAGCTTTTTTTTGAGGAATTTATGACACAGTAAATAATTTTTTTCGTTTTTCTTTTTTTCTAGTAGAGAAATGTCACATAATCCTGCTCATTTTCTATAAAATTTGTTCAAAAATTTCACAAATTAACAAGAAAAACATAATCTGTTGCGCCCGACTTGGAGCGACTTGCGCCCAGGTGGCTCTTAAAAAGCTTCTTAAAATCAAAGTCACTATTGAAACCTCTTATCGGAACGATCATGACTGAACTCCTGGCGGTTTCTTTTTCAAATCCACCCGACCAAAAACGACTTTCGCCTAGGGGTATAAAATTCTTGAGAAAAAACTTCCAAATTTCGTATTTTTTAGCCTTTTTCTTGTCGTTTTCTATATGGAAATCGCGAATTTTCAACAACTCCTAGTAATAATCGATTATAAAGAAGATTTGTATAGGTAAATTTCCAAATTATGAAAGAAAAAAATCAACTTTTTTTCAGCGTACACGTCATTGGAACTTGACATGAAGCCAAAAATTTGATCAACAAGCCATTTTGGATTGAATTAATGTGGGTTGCTCGGTGAACTTTTCAAGCTTATTTGTTATTTCTCGGCAGGCATTTTATAGGTCTATTGCTTTTAAAGGTGTATTAGTTTTCCGTCAAAATGGAGCCGAATATAGCATTTTTCTGGTTTGGATTTAGTTCTAAAAACACGAAAATGGGTCTCGGAAAAATACACATTTTTATCTAAATTTTCAGTTTCCATGCATTTTTGTGATGAAAAAAGCTGCTACCTTTGAAAAATTTGAATTTTTACCGTTTTCTGGTTCTTTTCAAGTTTGTTCGGCACTTCTTCTTCGCAGCTATTTCATAGGTCCATTTCTTTTACAGTTGTATTAGTTTTCTTTCAAAAATTTTCCTTATTCTGCAGTTTTTGCTTTTTCTACTGAATAGTGATCAAAAGCAAATTACGGTGTTTAATGCTTTTTTAAAAAATACCGAAAGGTTAAAAAATCTGCCTGTACCTTTAATTTGCTTTTTTCCACTGAGAATTGATCGAAAAAGAGAATTTCAGTTATTCTTTTCCAAGTCGATTTCAGGAAATTGGTTTTACTCGAAAATATACATCTTTATTTTTCGATCGATGAGGAGCAAAGTATTTCGAACAGTTTCCCAAGTTGCAAAAACAATGAGTTTTGGTTCCTTGGGAAAATTTCGGAAAAAACGTCATGATTTGTATTTTTTTTTCCGTTTGACTTGGTGGTAACGTGGGTTAAATTTATTTTTAATCAGAAAAAAATAAAGAAAAAAATCTGGAAACGATCCGTTTTTTTCTCAAAAAAATCACACCATTTCTGGTCTGTTTTTTTAGTCCATTTCATCGGATTTTTGCAAGCTTTTTTTGGAGAAATGGGCCAAATTATTGGCTTTTGAATTGCCCTCAGTCGTGTTATTTATATATATACATATTTTTTCTGTTGTGCCCGCAGGTGGCCAGTGAAGACGTTGTAGTAGAAGATTTATTAGTAACAAGAAACTAGACTATGCTAGCCCCTTTTACAATAACAAACAAGGTGTTATATAGTGCTGAGGGAAGAGATCCCGAAGATTATGGAATGTTCCGGAATAAAGGTGGAGTTTAGATAGTATTTAGATTAGAGTAAAAGATGGAACATTCCAGAGTTTTAGAGATCTGTCCCGGAAGCATTAGAACATTCGAGAACAATGTGGAGCCTTCTAGAAAGGTAGAGAACAAATGAGAAGATTGTGGAACTTTCTAGAAGGGAAACTTTTACACATGATCCCTATGACGTAATGAGACTAGAAATGTATGGAAAACTATAGAACATTCTAGAATCAGCTTAATATAAGCGTTATGCTCCAACATTTTCTCGCTTTTGAAGGATTTTTGAGAAATTTGAAAAAAAATTTTTAAATCAAAAAGTCATTTTTCAAAGTTTTTATCAATGAAAATTTGATAGTTTTTCGAAAACCGTTTCAAAATATGGTAATTTTCCGTTTCGAGCCGATTTTCGAGCTCTTTTCTTAAGTTTTTCGGATACTTTAAACTTCTAAAAAAAATTTTTAAAACCATTTTTCAAAGCTTTTCACAAAAGAAACCCTTTTAAAATACGACAATTTTCCATTTCGAGCCGTTTTTTGTCCTCTTTTCGTAGTTTTGGGATACTTTGACCTTCCAAAAAACATTTCTGCACGTTTTTGTTCCCACAAAACGGAAATTACTCTCTTTCCTATCTTTAGGTCGGGAATGGGATGGAAATCGCATCATTCTACTAGAATTTTCTCATGCTTTTATTGTTCCTTTGGAATTGTATCCAGGTCAATTTCCAGAAAAAAATGTCCTTTAAGTTCCGAATTTTGCAAATTTGAAGAGTTTATTTAAAAAATGAAAAGAAACTCAAAATCTTTTATTTATGGGTAAAGAAAACCTTTTTTTCCAGCTTCGAAATCATTATTTTTCACTCTGGCTTTTTCCAGCTCAGAATGGTTTTTTGAAAGGCGCGACAGCTATGGTCCTGACCTTGATCTTTCTCAAGAGACATTATTACTTAAATTCAAAGCCTCTGAAAAATTGAGTTTTTTTGTGATTTTTTTAACGTAAAAAAATGTTCAGAATGAACTTCGATCTTTGACTAGTATTTTTTTATTTTTTTATTATCACACTTATATTAAAAAAATTTAGGCTTCATTTCAGTCTTATTGATCATTAAAAAAACTTATCTTTGAAAAATGCAAAAAAACTAGAGAAACGTCGTCCGGGGTTGAACCTATGACCCTTGGAGCCATAGATTGGCATAAAAACCGCTGCGCTAATGTACCGTTTCACTTTCTTTTCCTATATATTCGAAATATAGGCTTCATTTCAGCTCTCTTGATGATCACAAAATAATCAAAAATTCAAAAACTAGAGAAACGTCGGCCGGTGTCGAACCTATGACCCTTCGAGCCATATACTGGCATACAACCCTCTGCGCCAATGTCCCGTTTAACTTTCTTTTTTCATTAGCACAATTTCAATCGAAGAATGGGCTTCATTTCAGTTGTTTTGTTCATTAAAAATAATCTTGAAGCGCGAAAACTGTAGAAACCTCGGCAGGGATTGAACCTAGGACTCTTGAAGCCATAGACTGGCCGAAAACCCACTGCGCTAATGTACCGTTTCACTTTAAATCGAAAAATAGGCTTCATTTCAGTGTTATTGATCATTAAAATAATCTCAAAAGTGCAAAAATAGAATAACGTCTGCAGGGACCGAACCTATGACCCTTCGAGCCATAGATTGGCATAAAAACCGCTGCGGCAATGTGCCGTTTCACTTTCAATCGAAAAATTGGCTTCATTTCAGGTTTTTGGATCATAAAATAGTTTTGAAAGTGCAAAAAGTAGAAAAACGTCGGCCGGGATCGAACCTATGACCCTTGGAGCCATAGATAGGCATAAAACCTATTGCGCTAATGTACCGTTTCACTTTGAATCGAAAAATAGGCTTCATTTCAGTGTTATTGATCAATAAAAATAATCTCAAAAGTGCAAAAACGAAAAACGTCGATCGGGATCGAACCAATGACCCTTGGAGCCATAGACTGGCATAAAGCCCACTGCTCCAGCCTGCTGTTTCACCCATTTTCTTGTAGAAATCATTTCAATAATCTTGAAAAGTCTTTTTTCGGTTTTTCCACAGTAACTTCAGTACATAGATAACCTGAAAATCTTAATTTTTGCTATTTTCGATTGATTTTAGCTTTCCGAAAAACGATCCAATAAAAAGCCCGAACTATATAGAATTCCCCTAATGGGCAGTACAAACCAAAAAAATCCCTAAAAAGTGCCCATTTGAAAAAATTTACAACTCAAAAAAAAAGTCCCCTGAACCTTCGAATCATGAGAAAAGTAAAGTAATATAGTGCTAAAACGGCTTTTTCCTTCGCATATCCATATCAAATCACAACGGCGCCGATTTGCCGCCAAATTAGGTTTCTCGATGGAAAGTGGGCGTGGCCAGGGGAAGAAATGGCCTTTTTCCACTTCCTTCTGCGGATTTCTTCGGTATTTCTTGCTCCTTGAGCCCCATGACTTCTGAAATCATGTGATGCTACCGTATTTCATCGTATTCTTACTGTATTTGGTTACGGTAGCAGAATGTCAGGTCGCGACGACGATGCCTGCCATCGTGCTGACGACGGAAGAGGCGGCCGAAGTCGAAGATACAGGTTATTTTTAATTAATTGAATGCTGTTTCTGCTTCTGGGAGTTCATTAGAAAGATGAAAAATCGCCTTTTCTGAATTTAGATCTTAAAATGAAGGTAATTTACTGGAAGCCATGGTATACGCTTTGTTGCTGAAAATCCTGGCGAAGTTTGCTGAAACCAAATGAGCTTACCGTTTCAAAATTTCAACAAAACAAAGTTTTTCGAAAATTCTTGCACCTCCCGTGAAAACTACCGCCTTTGGCTGAAATATTATATAACTTTGAAGTTTTTGAACTTTATCTTCCTTGTGAAACGGAAATGTTGGATAAACTTGAACATGGAAATTATTTTTTTATTTTTAATTTAAAAAAATAGATTGAGTGAAAAAAATTTGAAATTATGCTCGTTGAAAAGTGAAAAAAATAAGATCACCTTTCAGAATTTTTCGTCCCTGTAAAGCAAAAAAATCAGATTTACTTAAATTTTTGAGAGTTATCTCCCTTGTAAGGCAAAAAAATTAAATTAACCTGAATATTCGAAAATTATTTTTCCTTGTAAGCTAAAAAAATCTTATTCTTCTTGTAGGGCAAAAAAATCATGATTAACTCGAAAATTTGGAAAAATTATCCACTTATAAAAGCAAAAAAATCTGGAATCTGAAAATTTGGAAATTACCTTTATTGTAAGGCGAAAAAAAATTTGACTAGCTTGAAAATTGAATATTATCCTCCTTGTAGGTCTAACATTTGGATTAACTCGAAAATTCGAAAATTATCGTTCTTGCAAAGAAAAAAATTGGATTACCCTGAAATTAGTTCATCTTGAAAGCAGAAGAATTGGAAAGTGTTCAAATTTTGAAACTTACCCTCATTTCGAAACAGGAAAGTGGGATAAACTTGAAAAATTTGCCTTACAAGGAGCGTATTTTTTTTTCTTTTTTTTTGTCGCTTTTCTTTTTTTTTTCTCATGGTATTAAATTCTGAACTTGAAAAAGATTAGATTTATCATTTTTTTCAGTGGGAAATTTTTTTCTCTTAAAACGGGTCCAAAGTTTATTGTTTCCCACGTCTAATTTATTTTTCTGTGGCTTTATTTTTTTAAATTTTTTTCGGGTTATTTTTTTAAAAAAATAGCGGGGGTGGTGCTTCTTGAGAAAAAGAAAAAAATTTTTCTTTTTTTAAGATTTTTTTATTTTAGTGGGACCCTCAATTTTTTTGCGATTAGAGATCAAAAGCTCTGTTTCCAAGCCTTTTTTTTATTTTTCCAAGTCAAAACATATGACAAAAACTCGTCAACTAGTCCAACAGCTGAATTCTGTTTGAAAGAAGGAAAAAAAAAGATTGATAGTTTCTGAGAATAGCGATTATTGCTGATAATTGCACATGTCCGAGACGGGGAAAGCTTTCGGATGGAATTCAAAGATGGATTTTTCCGCAGGAAGGACCTTGACGTCGGATTGGATCGTCGGAATCGCGATGATGGTCCTTTCGATGGCCTGCGCCGTCGCCTACTCCATTATTCTATTCGTTCGTTTTCCCATTTTTTGAATAATTTCACTAGGAAAGGCTTTGCTAGTAGTACGCCTCCCATCTCCGAGGAGTGAACGTGGAGCAGCGCAAGTGCGCTCGAATACGGTTTTGATATCGCGAGTTCGATCCTCGCAGCGGCCATTTTTCTCATTTTTCATGAAAAATAGCTTTTCTCCTCAATCTTGTGGTTTTATACTGTTTTAATAACTTATTATGACTTTGAAAAAAACGAATTAAACTACATATGAAAATAAAATGAACGACCAAAAGTGTAAAATCTAAACTTTCAGTACTAAATTTCGCGACTTTTTTCACAACTTTTTTTGTTCTCAACCTTTTTCGAAAAACTAAACTGTTTTGAATAGGTAATTTGAGCAGCTATCCAACCATATTAATATTGAAGCTCGAACATTTTTTTGAAAATTTGGTTGTGGTCCCTAAGGAAAGCGTTTTTGCAGCCAAAAGCCTTTCAAATCGAGAAAAATCGACTATACTAGAAAAATTTTATCAGTGTACCCAATGTCATGAACCAGGTGTCAGCGAGAGTTAGGCTATACCGCACGCGATATCGCTCTCCTCTCGCGATATCGCTCGCCTATCGCGATACCGCTCGTCTCTCGCGATATCGCTTGCCTCTCTCGGACGTCTTGCGCTATATATCGCTCTTTGAAAATCTTTATTTATTTTTTAGTTTGATTCTTTCAATCAAGTGAAAAAAAGAAAATTGGTTTTTCAAATGAGAAAAAGGCGGTTTGGCTGCGAGACTTTGGCGATATCGCGTCAAGGAATTTTTCGACTATATCGCGCTGCGAAAAAAAAAATGAAATTTTATATTTGAGTTCTTCTTTTAAATTGAACAAATTTTGAACAACTTTGAAGAAAAGTGAATTTGAATTACGAATTGCCCTTTTGCAGCAAGTTCGCTCCATAGACATATTTAAATTTTTGTTCGATTTTTTCCCAATATTTCTTTTTGATTTTTTCAAAGTCTCAGCCTCGAAAGAGTTTTTGAATACTTTTTCATTGAACTCGGAAAAGGAAATCGGGCTTTTTTCAAGTGGCTGCTTAAGTGTTTCTTGAGGAACCTCTCTAGTGGCCACTATAGTTTTTTTTTCATCATACTGAAAATTCCTTTCAAATTGTTCAAATGCAACTTTTCTACTGGAAGTTTCTAAAAAAAAAAACTGAATTTTTAGACGATTTGGAACGACAAGGAGTTGATCCGGATGGCATCTTATAAACTAATGTTCGCCCTGGGAATATTCGACGTCATCCAGTGTTTACCGCATTTCGTGACCGGAATCTTCACGATTTGCCAATCGACCTTTCATCCGGGATTGGCTAAGGTATTATTTCTTTAGAAAAAATCCTGAACGTGTAATCTTTTTTTGTTTTGTTTCACATGACGCATAGGACCTTCCAGTTAGGAAATTTCTTCGAAAAATGAGAAAATAGAATGGAAAATGTTTGATTTTGAGAGCCCAGAAGCTATTACTTACAGAAAATCTTCTTCAAGGGATTTTTTTCAAAAATTGGAACAGGCTCAAATTTTTTTCAAAATTTGGAAGAAAAATGCTCTGATTATCTCAAAATTGTTTTTTTTTTTGTCTACAATTAACAATGAATTTGAATTCGAGAATTTTCTATCATTAGTCTTTATTTTCCCTGACTTGATAAACCGTGGTCGCACGTGGAATGGGTCGATATATTGACATTCAACTTAAGGTTCAAATTCACTAATTCTATTGATTTGAACAGAGAATCGATTCAAAATTATAACTTGGGAATTATAATTTTTTCATTTTTAGTATTTTCAAATGGATAAAACACAAAAATGGATCAAATAGGAAATTTTTTTGCCGATTTTCAGGAAATTTCAACATTTTAAATTAACATATACTGCCAAAGTCGGAAGTGCGGAAAACGGGTGCAAAAAGGGAGTGACTGCAAAATGGCCGCTAAAAGGGTCCCTTTTTACGGCCTTTATTGAGCCTTTCATTTTTTTGGTGGGTTAAAAAAAGGGTCATAAAAAGGGCGAAAAAAGGGAGAGGCCGCGAAAAGGGTGAAGAAAGAGTGGGGGTTCAAAAAGGTTCTGAAAGTCTCTGTTATTGATGATTTCCGATGTTATTACTGTAGCTTATTTCGGTTCATACGCGGTCACTTGTAAAGATTATTCTCAATTTAAAAAAAATTGTATTTCTCAAAAGGGTCCAAAAAGGGTGGATGAAGGCCGATGAAAGGACGCAAAAAGGCAGTAAAAAGGAAACCGTTTAGGAACAATTTCCGGAAACAGACGGATCCGTAACGGACGCTCAAAGGGCCCGTGAAGGGTCATTCCGACTTTGCCTATGTCTTAACATATACAAAGTCGGAAAAAGGTGAAAAAAGGATCCTTTTTTGCTGCCTTTTTGTGTCATTTTCTCGGCCTTTATGCACCATTTTTGCTGCCTCTTTTTGCAAGCGATTTTATAGGAGAATTTCAATTCTCCTATATCGATATAAATTGTGAAATTAGGTTAAAAATTTCAAATCATGAAGCAAATAATTGTTGATGATAGTTCTAGAAGTGATTGAGGATCAATTGAAATTTTTTTTTTTGAATTGGGCTTCAAAATCTTCAAAATTTTCCCAAATTCTTTCAATATATTTTTTTTTCTCTGATACCTAGCCCCTTTCATCTCTTCGGAAGTAGTTTGAATCTAAAAAAAATATTCTGCCCACTTTTGGAGTCACTTAATCAAATTTCTCGTCGAAAAACGCACAGGTGTAGGTGAATACCTGGGTTTTATTGGGCTCAAAAAACCGAATAAGCTGTAATTTGTTCAAATTTCGTGTTTTCCAATGTTGCGAAATGAACAATGAGGAAGTTTTTTGCGTTTTTTCCATAGATCTTAAGTTATTTTCATATTCTTAAGCTCAGAAATATAATTTGTACTTCAATTTTGATGCAAAATAGCAGTTTCCCAATTTTTGTTTTACTTTTTCAACCCTATTTTCGAAGAAATTTCAGCTTATTCTACTTTTGAGTAAACTACATTCACTTCCATGTGACTTCTGATCATCTAAAAAATTCAAAAAATTAATTACAACTTTGTTAAAAAGTCACATGTAAATTACACACTGAAATTTGGTAAAAAAACAAGTAATTTCAGAGGCATTTCGAACCAGGTAATTATAGAGAAATGGTCAAACTTCGTTTCGTTACTTGAAAATGAAGAAAATTGGGTCTTCAGGGGGGTTTAATTTTGAAAAGAAAGATGCGAAAAAGTTTGAAAAAAATCCGAGCAAAGTTTTTTTGAAAAATCAAGTTTTTTTCTTGATTATAATGGCGAGCTTTCATGACGAAAAAAATTTGTTTTTATTAAAAAAACAAGAAAAAAATTTAAAAAAATAAAAAGTCGAGATGAACTAAATGAAAAAGGAGAAAAAAATCGTATTGTACTTTTTTTCTCGAAAAAAATGTATGTAATATCTGTTTTTCATAAATTTTTCGCTTAAAAAAATTTGAAAAAAAAATTTTTTTCGAATATCGATTTACAGTCAAGTTATGATGCTAGAAAAATCCGCGAAAACCTCAACTTCGGAAAAATTATCGACTTTTTTTAAGCTGTTGGAAGCGTAATAACTCGACTAAAAGACAAAAAAAAAAGGGGGGGGGGAATTTTCCTTTTCTATTTATTGAATCAAGAAGTTTTTCCAGTACTTTTTCAGCTAGGTTTAATCAACAAATGACCTATCGATTAATTTTTTTGATATATTCAAATATAAATCCTCATTTCAAAAAGAAAAAAATTCCACAAAAAAATTTGATTTTTTTAATGGTAATTTTTTTAAATCGAATTTAAAATTATACATCTCATCAAGGAAAGTATTTGAGCCATTTCAATTTTTTTCAATTTGAACCTGAAAATTCCAATTTCAAAAAAATAAATCAATCCACAAAAGAAATTCTTATCTCAAATCCCACTTTCAAAGGTCAAATATAAATTTCCATAAAGAAGTGTTCCCCGGTCTTTTCTCTCCACAGTTTTTGAAAAATGTTAAAATCAGGAAACTTTTTTGGCCAGGTGAATCACTTTGGAAGGAAAAAATTCATTCATAGGTGAAGTCGGAAACGGTGGGAAAAGGCTTCGTAGAAATTTTCCTTTTTTGCTGCCTTTTTGCGCCATTTTCGCGGCCATCTTGCGGCCTCTTTTGAGCCTTTTTGCTGCCTTTTTGCTCCCTTTTTGCTGCCTTTCTGCAATCTTTTTGCTGCCTTTTTGCTCCCTTTTTGCTGCCTTTCTGCAATCTTTTTGCTGCCTTTTTGCTCTCTTTTTAATGCCTTTTTGCTGCCTTTTTGCTCCCTTTTTGCGGCCATTTTGCTGCCTTTTTGATGCTTTTTTGCGGCCATTTTGCTGCCTTTCTGTGACCTTTTCGCGACCTTTTTGCTCCCTTTTTGGTGCCTTTTTGCTGCCTTTTTTCTGCCTTTTAGCTGCCTTTTTGCTCCCTTTTTGCAGCCTTTTTGCAGCCTTTTTGCTTCCTTTTTGATGCCTTTTTGCAGCCTTTTTGCTGCCGTTTTGCGACCTTTTTTGAGCCTCTCTTTTTTAGAAGCCATTATATACCATTCCGACTTTGCCCGAGTTTTGAATAAAAATTCTTATTTCCAACTCAAAAAAAAAGTTTTTCCCACAATAGAAATTCTTATCTCAAGTCTCATTTTCATAAATCAAATGAAATTTCGAAACATGGTCCCTTTTTTCCGAATAAACGACGAAATCTTAAGGCGATGGGCGTTCTGGCGACCCCTTGCTACGTCGCCTACGCGGTCCTGACCATCTTCCTGTCCTTCAATCGTCTGATCCAACTCTGGTCGCCCCGACTGGACAAGATGCTCTTCGGCGGCACCCGAATAAATGTAGGACCTTTTTAAAAGACGGCCAGAACTTTGATTCGTCTTGTTAGCAGATTTGGATCGGGGCCGGCTGTTTTTTCTGTTTTTCGTTCGCCGTCGCCTTGTCGGTGCCCGGATCGACGATCCACTACATTCCCGAATGGTTCGTTCTTCAAAATTATAGCCTGTGTACCACGACTTGGAATTTCACGGAACGACATTCCTAAATGCGCGAGGTCCCAGTGTGTTGCTCGCCCTTCTCCTTTTCCAAGGAGTGCCACGCGGTGTTTTTAGGTGTACCTCAAACTTGGGTAATTAAACCTTTATTATAAAAATAAACAAACGAAACGAAATAAAATAATACAAAAGTAAAAAGGAGTAACGATCAGCCTGGCTGATCGTATCGGGGAAAGAATGAGACAATCGTGGGTCCCGTGAGCTTTTATAAGCTCGGTGACGACACGATCGTGGGGGTGGCGAAGCGTCTGAAAGGTTTCTTAAAAGCTTCTAAAAGTTTTGTTAAAACCTTCTAAAAGGTTTGGTTTAATGGTCAGAACTTTGAGTTCTGACAATTCCGCTGTGCCGCTGCGTGGCTTTGCGAGCCTTGGTCGCGCTTTTATTTTTTTTTTCTTTCATTAAGGTGCTCTACTTTCATAAGCTCCCACATTGAAAGCGTGACCTAGATTCGAAAGACGCTTCGCGAACGCACGCAGCGGAACAGCGGAATCTCGTTCCGTGAAATTCCAAGTCGTGGCACACAGACTATAACAGTCTTCAATGTTTCAATCACGTGTTTAAATCTTGGTTTTTTCATCCCCGAACAATGCGACCGCTCTTAAAAAAGCTCCGAAAAGTTTTGAATTTGAAAATTTCCTTCATTTCTTCTGTAAACTTGCTTTTTGGTTACGAATGGTTTTATTGATTTTGGTCGCACGGAGAATGTCTCGACGTGTCGCAAGTCCCAAACGTGCCCCCGACCGAGGAGCGGCTTTCGCGAACTTGCCTAGATCCGCTCGGTTTCGAAATTTAAATTGAAAAACAAAAAATGGCCAGAATACGACATTATATGCCACAAAAATGGCCCTGAAGTCTGCCGAAAATCCGATTCTTTTGAGATAAATTTTCTCAAAGGCTCAAAGTAATCAATTTTTAATTTTTTTTTAGGGTCTTTTTTCGATTAAAATGAGTTCTGGAACTCCAAAAAAACTATTTTTATTTGTTTAAGATTGCTTGGCTCCTCATTTTTTCTTCTCTATGATTTTTGAAAAATTTCCTCATTTTTTTAAGACTAAGAAAGAAAAATTATGAAATGAAATTTTTTTGGCATCACGGGTTTCATTTGCTCAAAATCCCCCAAAAAAATAATTTTTTCGATCAAAAAGACTTTTTTTCTTTTTTTAGTTTCTAATCAAAAAAATAATTTAAAAATAACGTTATCTGTGTTTTTAAAAAAAGTTGAAGTCGATCCGTCAACCAACAAAAATTTTTAACTTTTCACTGAAATACCTACCGTAACCCAGGAAGGGGGCGGAGCCTAACAGTAACTATCTTTAAAGTTTCCATGTCCAGTACATAATTCCCATTGTCAAAATGAAACTTGAAATTCTTGCACCAACGGCACGGCGTTTTTTTTGGCGACGGCCCGCCCACATTTTTTTTCCGTGAAGTGTAGTGTTTTGTGTGCATATACTGCAGCTTGTGTATGCAAACGACACGCTACACTTTACGGAAAAAATTTTTTTTCCGATCAAAAAATTACTTCCAACACGGCATGTGTTTTAAAACAAAAAAAAAACAGAAAAATCGCGCCTTTTTTAAATGGGAAATAGAATCGTTATGGGACCCAGTGATGCGCCTTTAATATTTCCTGTTGTTTTTCCCATGACGTCACATGGGTGAAGTTTTGACCACGCCCCCTAATTTTTGGTTTTGCATTTTCTTCCATTAAAAAGAACACCGGGACGGCTCATCGTGATTCTGAGAGAACGGGTGTTGAACGATTTTTAACTAGAAGATTTTCGGTTTCAATAAACTTTTCAATGTTTCGTATCCCTTTCAGGTACAGCTGGGACTACGACTACGAATTGCCCTACTCGACCTACGTCCAACACGTCGAAATGTACATCGAAGTCGGCGGAATCTTCGTTTCCGCCATTTTCTACGCCTTCATCCTCACTTTACTGCTTCGGACGGTTCGTATAATTTTTTTCGGGGTGTTTGAAAAGTAATGTGACTTTATTCGTTTTCTTGTTTTTTATTGGTCTTAAGGCATAAATAAGATGAAAATGTCCAATTTTTGTCGCATTTCTGGCTGTTTTCCTTGAGAAATCCTTGAGTTCTCAGATTTTTCGAAATGAACCCAGCTGGGCCCCTTCTTGCACCCGATACTAGATTTGATGTTTCTAAGAATTCGAAGTGCGATCGCTTTGTTTTTTTCTGTTTTAAGGGTTAAAAAAATAATGAAAAATTCATATTTTTCGTTCAAAAAGAGGATGTTTTACAGAATTTCTTTGCCTATCTTGTTTTAAAATTTTTGTACTGTGTAGTGAGAAAAAAATGTAATTTATCGACGGGTATCGGAAGAGACAATAAAAAGCTTGAAAAATGACTTTACTGTTTCGGTCGGATTACATAGATTTTTTGGAAAATTTAGAACCTGATCTTCGCTTCATCCATTTCCTATCAGTCATTTTCAGCTTTCTTTGTTAAAACTACTTTTCTTAAAATTTTTTTTTGTGATAACTTTCAGTCAGAAACTTAAAAAAATCTGGTTTAAACCGAAAAAAAGAAAAAAAAGGAACATAGCAATCTTAAAATCATCCTTTTGCGTATTGAAAAGAGGTTTCCAGCCTACGAAAATTTCGGAGAATTTTCCTTATTCCGGCTAGTTGTTCATAGAATTTGGATTACAAAAAATTTGGAAAACAAGAGATTTGCGAATTTTTTTTTTGTTAAACCAGTTTGCTGTTTCAGCGCTTCTGAATATTCTCAAAATTAACTCTTTCCACATTTGAATTGTTGTTTGCGGTGCGTGTAGAAGACAAAAAAAGAACACAGAGACACAAAAATAGTCTATAGAAAAATTTAAAATCTACAATAGGCACTTCTCTGCGCCCTCCTTATCTCTCGACGTCTCTCTCATGTTTAAGTGCTATTTTTACGTTTCTCTGCCCCCTCCTCATCTCTCGAGAACTCTCTCATTTTTACGTGCTCTTTCAACGTTTCTCTGCCCTCGCCGGGGAGGGAACAGAGAGACGCAGACGCGCGAAAACTGTCAAGTAAAAAATTTTTCGGTGGTCTAGACTACCTCATGCTGATGAGGGCAGGACACGGGATCTCAGCGGGTGTGCCCGTATTGAACCCGCTTAAGTACAGCTAGACCTTTGGCATTTTTGCCACATCTGAAGCCCCGTTTCAGTCCAAAAGGTTCTCAGATTTTCGAAATGAACCCAGCTGGGCCCCTTCTTGCACCCGTTTTTGTCCCGTTTTGGCTCAACTGAGGCTGCTCAAAAAAATACGGGTTTAATGCTCGACAGAAGAAGAGACTCCTGGCTCTATGAAAAGTTGAAGCTACGCGAAGTTCGGTCGGAAACTGTGAAGAGAAAATGGCTTTTTGCAAAGAAGATTGCTACGGGAGAAGACACATGAGCGAAGAAAATCGTGGAGTAGCGACCATGGGCGAAAACTCGCGAAGTTGGACGACCTAAACCTCGTTGGCGAGATGACCTACGAGCAGTTCTTGGTGAAAGATGGGCGACAGTTGCGCGAACCGACAAACATCTCTTCAAATATTCCACGATTCAGCAGATACAAGATTACTCTGAAGACTGAATAAACGTTAATAGATTATTGAGTTTTAACAAAAATGAAGTTTCCTTGTTAAAATTGAAATTTCAGAAGAAACGCTTCATGATAACCAGCAGTTACATGGCCGAAATCAAGATTCTGATCCAAGCCACCGTTATAACCGTCTATTGTACGATCCTCAACGTCTTATGGCACAATTATCAGGTAATTTTTGAGAAAAATCATTTTTAGTAGACAAAAATGTCCACTGTTGGTATTTCTTCCGAGTTTCGGAGTACCTCCGTTTTCGGAACCTTCAAAGTCTGGTTTCTCGATTACTTTTCTAATTTTTTGGCTGCTGAGAGACAAGAGTGAGCTGAGTGGCCCCTCTAGGGGCACTGAAGCTTGAAAAAGTGGTCACTTTAGGGAGCATATTAGTGGTTTTTTCATTTTTCAAATCAATATGAAAAACTGGAAGATCCCTATAGGGACCACTTCAGCTTTAGGAAGCTCAGGGGTCAGATCCTGAATCCCTATCGGTATCCCCTTAAGTCTAGATTTCTAGGGAGCTCTATTCTCCCCTTACCCCTCTAGGGACCACTCTGGCGACTGGATCAGATTTTTTTCGGACCCACATATGTACAAAAAAACGTCTTTTTCTCTTTTCAGTCCCCAATAATCTATCAGTTCAGCTTGAAAATTTGAATAAATATATTTTTTCAGTACTTTCTGCCCCTGAACATTTGGTCCTACATGGGCCTCAATTTCATGTGGATTTTTCAACAGCGGCGTCTACCCACTCATCTACTTCCTTGTCAACAAGTTTGTGCTATTTTTTTATTATTAAATTGGTGATTCATGGTGACTCAAAGGTATAAATTAACTTATCAATCAGAGTTTGCTTTGAGAATTTTAAAATATATTTTTTTGTACCCGTTGCTTTCGAGACTTTTTGAAAATTACAGAGAAGCGTGTTAGATCTTTCGATTAAGCTTTTTTTTCTTCAACTTTCAAAAAAGGTCGAAATTGAGCATTTTTAGAGCCCTGCGGCAAAAAATCCGCTCGAAGAGGATTCCAAACCCGACGGGCGCCATTTCCATGTTCGTCCGTTCCAACAACTTCAGCGGCATGAAAACCGCCACCGGGACACAATAATCTGCTTTTTTCTCTTTCCTCTCTTTCCAGTTGATTTTTTTTTAGAACTTCTTTTCCAAACGAGTTACGGATAGCCCCAGAATGTCTTTCCTTAGAAGTTCCTGACTTAATTTAAAGGCGCATCATAAGAATTGGGAAACGAGTATTGAAAAGAAAGATTTTCTAGAACGTTTACAGCCTTTTTTGAATTTTTAGAGCATAATATACCTCATTCACCATTCAATCTGACCTGTCTGCGCTCTCTTCTCTCTCACCTGGTCATAGAAAACTACTTTAGGGACCCCTAACTCAATTTAAAGGCGCATCATGAAAATTAGGAATTGAGTCTTGAAAAGAAGGGTTTTCTGGATCTTTTAGAGCCTCCTTTGGGTTTTTAGAGTATAATATACCTCATTCACCCTTTTGTCTGACCTGTCTGCACTCTCTTTTCTCTCACCAGGTCATAGAAAAGCGAGAGAAGGACTTAGAGAAGAGAGCGCAGAGAACTCAGATTTTTCTCCCAATTTTCATTTGTTCCACAATTTTGAATATTTTTTCCTCTTTTCCGAAATCCGGGTACCTCGTCTTTCCCACCTTCGCTGCGCATCAACTTGAATAATCCCTATTTTTACGAGTTTTTCAACGGGTATTATTCTAAATGGAAAATTATAAATTTTATTCGAATGCGACATTATTTTTTTACATGAAAATATACATGGACTATAGAAAAAAATGGAAATTTGGAATGAACAGGAGGATTTTTTGGAGATTTAATTGATTTCCGAGGTGTTAATGATGACACTAATCTTTTCTACTTGGTTATTAGTAACTAAAAAAAGGCAATGTTGCGGAAATTATGTGGATTTGAAGGTTGATCGGGAGTTAGGCGGCTCCTGAAAAGAAAAAATTGGGATTTTTTTTTTGAAGTGAATAAACTCACCATTTTCCTTGTTTTCGTCGGCTCTCGCCGCGTCTTCGGCTTCTTGTCGTTTTCTTTCTTCTTCCTCTGGAAAATTTCACCTTTTGAGTAGTAATTTAAAGTTTTTTTCTGACAAAAAAAGGTACAATTAGTTAGAAAAAAATTCGTTTTTTTAAGTAATTTATTGAAAAAAATTCCTCCTAAAAAAAATAAAAATACAGACTCTTCCATGGGCTTTATCAAAAAAACTTGAAATTTTTGAGCAAAAATAAAAACAGAAAAAAACGCTTTTTTTACTACCAAATCAAGGTCCTAAAGGATCAAAAAAACTTCCATTAAAAAAATTCAAAAAAATTTTTTCGCTTCTATTTTTTTGTGAACCTTTCTGAAAAAAACGGGAAAAAAATTAACGAAAAAAATAAAGATTTTTCAAAAAAATCAAAAAAAGATGCTTAAAAAGGTTACACTGCTTGAACTCTTCAGAACAGGGCAAAAAAGCATAAAAACTCCTGACAGAGGCCGGACTCGAACCCCCGACCTCTCAGCCCTTAACCAAGACTTTTAGCCACTCGGCCAACCAACCTTTCGCAGCTCGTTCCTTCCAGTGGGCCTTGTTCTGGTGCAAGAATTTCATCCAAGGCGTCGGGATGTCGAGCTTCCCGCTGTAGTTGAGGGGAATCTTGCGGATGACCGAGGGGGAGACGGACGAATTTCGACGAGATCTGAATCGGGGGAGTTGTAACTTGCAAGAGACTTTCAACTGACAGGTCGGGAAGGGGGCTCAGGGCGTTGCTCGGAGAGTTTCCCTCGCCGTCGACGCTCGGCGGGAAGAGGCTGTCAGACGGCGGCAGGGAGACCAGCGGCTCCACCATCTTCGTCAGCAACTCTCCGCAGACCAACATCGTCGGCTCCACGATGAAGTCGATGAAACCTGCAAAAATCCGTGGTCGCTCTTATTCTGAAACTTTCACCTAGAGCACGGTACCTGAGCTTGAGAACAACATTCGCTACATTCTGAGGTCGTCCAGGCGCAACTGGATGGCCTACGCGCAGAAGAACTAGGCAAAAGACCGTGAGACCACGCTTTCAACTTGATCAACTACACTTTGGACTTCTGGTTCGTCAAAGGCGGTTTTTCGTTATAGCTTCAAAAGTTCTCGTTCATCTTGTTCAGACCCAAGGCGTAATTTTGAGATTGAGTAAAATTTGGAGCATGGGTGAAAAAACTAAGAAAGAACGGCTCTCTTGACGATGGGACCAGTCCGCGGGTCGCCCCAGGGCGCGTTGAAGCCCGGGCCGACCCGTTTTATCAGCAGCCATGCCCGAAAGTTAGAGGAATAGATAACCCTTGAAAAAAAGACCTTTTTATGAATGTCCTTCAGAAACAACGTTCAAGGAAGAAATTTTACTCGAAATCTTAAACCCAGAAGCCCGCTTTAATGCTCTCCCATGTCATTTGCGCGCAAACCGTTTCGAGTCGGTCGCATCATACCAACGCTTACCTATTTGACTGTCAGCAACGTGTACCGTATGCCGATCACAAAGCGGAGAATACGGTAGACCCATTGAAGCTTCGAGGTCTCCTGAAATCGTCATTCGCTCTTTTGAGGCATTTTGACGTCTCTGCGCCCTCTTTTCTCTTGTCGAAGAGGTCATAGAAAAGGAAAATAACCTTGAAAAACAAAATTATTTCAATAATCGAAAAGTGTCTAGTTTGATTCGAAACAGGGATAAGTTGTCTATAGTCTGTTCAGATTTTGAATGTCAAGCCGTCGTTCAGGCTCCGCCCCTAACGGCGCGATAAACCAATCACAAGCGTTTTCGAATGACGTCATTGATACTCAAAATCTGAGCAAACTATATATTTTTTTAGGGCGAACCTTGGCGGAAGAACTCCTCCAAGACGCCCTCCGTCCATCTTTCGTGCAGATCCCAAGGTTTCGAAGGGTGGGAAATATCGCAAGCGTGGACGATCAAGCACAGCGCTTTGTTCTTGTCGATTCTGGAAAAAAAAACTTTCAAAAACCCTGAAAAGCCAACTTTCTCATCGCAAGGGATAAAAGAAAGGAACGAACCCTTCAGGCAGACTCAGCATGCTTTTCATCGTTTTGATCTGCATGAAATGCGTCGACATGTCTGTCGCCAACACGATTTCGATCACCATGTTTCGGAGCTCCCTGTAACAGGGAAGTTTGGAGACAAGTCAAGAAAATACATTATTCGAGGCTTGGAAAGTCTGACAGGCTTGTCTGACAAATAGAGTAAGATAAACTGACGTAATTCAGATATACATCGACGGGGCGCACTTTTCGGAGGGATGGGCGCACCTTTCGGGGAGTAGAGCGCATTTTTCGGGGGAAGGGCGCACTTTTCGGGGGGTAGGGCGCACTTATCGGGGGGTAGGGCGCACCTTTCGGGGAGTAGAGCGCATTTTTTTCGGGGAAAGGGCGCACTTTTTCGGGGGGTAGGGCGCACTTATCGGGGGGTAGGGCGCACTTTTCGGGGGGTAGGGCGCACTTATCGGGGGTAGGGCGCACTTTTCGGGGGGGTAGGGCGCACTTATCGGGGGGTAGGGCGCACTTTTCGGGGGGTAGGGCGCACTTTTAGAGAGTGGCCCCTTGAGTGGACACACCTTCCAAAGTTCTCCTTGAAGGACCCCCTTGCGTCGTTCTATAGGGGAAGATTGTATAAAACTATATGAGCGGGTCAGGTTTTAAACCCCTACAGGGACCACTATTTTGCTCTTATAGGCACTCTAGTTACTATTAATCCCTATAGGGACCACTCTAACTTCTTATTGAATACTGTAGCTTTTATAAAATCTGACAGCATAGCTTTAAATAACCATAAAGTGGTCTTTTTTGAGAATCTAAACCGGGGTTTCCTCACACTTTCCTATTTTTCCACTTTTCAAGGTCCCCAAATAGAAATTCTGTAACTATATACAAAAAAATAATTACCTGAACTCGTCGCGAGTCAAATGAGTCAGAATATTCTTGTCTTCGTCCTTCATCAGCCGATAGCACGAGGAAACGTGGTGATTTTCCAAAACCGACCGGTCGTTGTACAACATCGCGTAATTGGATCTGTAGTGTGGAGAATCCAGGTTTTCAAAATTCATAATTATCTCCTTAGCTTAGCCTTTTTTCATACAAAAAACAAAAAGAAAAATAAAACGAACTGTGATTGGATATGAAAGTTGTTGGTGTGACCGGTGTGTTCATAATCGTGGATCAGGGCGCCAAATAACACGGCCAAAAGTTCCAAATCGCCCAGGGAGTTCTGGAAAAGTATGTCGAATAAAAATCCAATACCCAAACCAGCTTTTTATTAAAATTAAAGATTACATTTCAAAAAAAAGTAAAAAAAATTATAGCTACCGTAAACACAGCGCTTGGTCTGCAAAACTGCGGAAAACCCCCGCAGTTACAGTACCTTTTCGTGGCAATAATTCATAGCGTGGTACGTTTCTTTAATAGTGCTCCGTTTTTTTAAAATCCAACAGCTTGTAAGAATTCAAAAAATGAAGAGCTGTTAAAGGATCATCGTCACGCGCGATGAAACGTCCAAGCGAAAGATACTGTAGTTAACAAAAAAAAAAACTGACGGCCAATCCGGTCTGAGAGAGCATGAAATGGGAAGACTGGGTGACGTCGGCGGCGTGGACGACGTTGTGATAGGGATTATTGTGTTTGGAGTAACCCTGCTCCAAGGCGCCGAGGTAGTTCTCCAGTGCCGTCAGTGGGATCTTCAAAATAAATATTTTTTTTGATTTTGAAAAATCTTGTGAAAAAACCTCTTCAATATTTTTCAAATTTGGACAGGAATAAACTTAATCAAAACTTTAAAAAAGCTTGACCTTTTTTCACGATTTTGATGTTTTAATGACCCAATCGGTGAGAGAAAAGAGAGCGCAGACAGGTCAGACAGTTTCAAGCCTCGTCTCAAAGTAATCTACACGCAAAAGACCCTTCAAAGGTTTTCTCACCGCTTGGCGCAGTGCCTGTCGCCTTGACTACCAATAACAAGGTCAAAGGTTCAACTCCTACACTGACCAATTCTTTTTTGCAGTTTTTTTTTCGCCTAAATTTGGCTATGAAATATAACTCGAAGCCCTTTTCAGTGGAAAATTGAATAAAAAACCAAATTTCTAGTGAATTTTCTGAAAAAATACCTAGGAAAGAAATCTCAGCAAGCTTAAAAATTTTGAAAAATAGAAATTTTTCCTAGTTTTTCTCACTAAAAAGACGACTAAACATAAAAAAAAAGCAGAGTCGGTTATATCTTTGAATCGGACTGAAAATTAAAGAAAAAGGCGAAATAATCACCTTAAACCGATCCATGAACCCGTAGCGATTGAAAAGTTCGAAGCCGATGTATTTCAAGGCGTGGCCTTCGGAAACTTCGTTCAGGTTGAACGGATTGAACGACCACGAATTGACTTCCTGAAAGTTTTTTCGAAATTGACAAGTTTGAAGCTTATTTTAGTTCGAAATTTGAAGTTTCTGGGCAGACGGGCACAGAACAAATGGTCTCAAAAAGGACTTTTTCTAGACCTTTTTCTGGACCTTCTAAGGAAGTAAAAAAAGATGAAAAATAAGATTCCGAGAAACTTTCGACACCTTTTTTTAGCAACTCAAAAAGGAGTTTCAGACTCTTTTTCAAAGGTTTTTTTAGGTTGGAAAAAGTCGAGTGCTTTTTTTATGAGCCCAATTTTTTTCATTTTTTTCAAAATTTAAAAAGTTTTTTTGGGTTTTATTAAAGTGTTAACGGCTTTAAAGTACGTAATTTTCGATAGTATGACAAGTCATTTTTCCAAAAATCTGGTCATCAAATTTTAAAAATCTAATTTTCTCTGAATTTTTCTATTTCTCACAAAAAATGCTCTCAAATCCTAATGAACACTATTTTGCACTTAACATATTTCAGGTCAAAATAAAAAGATTGACCAAAAAGGAATCAGAAAAAAAATTTCATAATCTACTAGTTATTTTTTTAGCTTTTTTGAAACTTTCAAACTAACTAAAATCAAGAATTCTACGCTTTTTAGACTTTTCCAACATACCGGAGAATATTGAAAAGCTTGTGGAAAGTTAATTTTTTCAAGGCGGTTTAGAACAGGAAAGTCATTCAGAAAGAACTTGAACATTTTGAACACTTGGTTGAATATTTTATGTGAAGCTTGTGTTTTTAAGGTGCTTTTTGAAGAAAAAGATCATTTTAGCATGGAATTTGGGATTATTTGACGGTTTTAACAAAGGAAACCATATTCTTTTCAACTAGATCTCTTCCGATTTTTTTTTCCTTATATTTATCCGTTTTTTTAAAGATCTGTAACCATTTTTTACTAATTCTTTGTGTTTTAATAATGAATCAACTATCTATTTTATATAAACAAATTCGAAACGAAAGTTTTATCGAGAAAAAAAAATCGGAAAGTTCCATAGCGATACGAAAAATCGGAAATGTTCGAAAATTCGCTGTTTTTTGAAATGAAATCAGTGAGAATAGTGGAATTTTCAGCATCCCGTACCACATAAGTTTCAATGATAGTTTAAAAAGACTTCGAAAATCTTCAAATCAATAGGAGAATCCATATTTATCGAATAAAAGATATTTTCGAGAAGATTCCGAGGATAATGGTGTAATTTTTAGCGTCTTAAATTACGTCACTGTTTCAATAATTCGAAAAATCATACAGAAACCTTAAAATTGGTTGATGAATTGCTTTTGAAGCTTTCTGTATCGTAAGAAGATGTTTTTGATAGGATATCGGGGATGAAAGTTCTGATTTCCGCATCTTAAAAGAAATCACCGTTTCAAAAATAATCCAAGAAAGTCTCCATGAACCTATTAATCGGTTGAAGACTTGAATTTATGGAAATGGTCCATCATTTGAGATTTGGAGATGTTTTTGAAATGATATCAGTGAGAATAATGGAATTTTCAGCAACCTGGGTCACATAAGTTTCAACAGTAATTCAAAAAGACTTTCAAAAATGTTCAAAGCAATAGGAGAATCCATATTTATCGAATAAAAGATATTTCTAGAAGATTCCGAGGAAAATTAGAGCGTCTTAAAATACATCACTGTTTCAATGAATCAACAAAAATTTCGGAAATTCTCGAAGCTGTTGCGTATTTTTAATTCGAAGATATATTTTTGAGATAATACTTGTGATAACTTTCAATTTTAACCATATTTGGGCAAGTAGAGTAGGAGGAGGTGGTGACTTTCAAAATTTTTGAAAAAGGGATGAAAAATTAATTTAGAGCCCAGGGAGACGGAAATGAAATAAATTTTATTCATGGAGGTAATACTGACGTTAATTTAACTTTATTTTAGTTCTGGATGTGATTTTTTACAAATACAAACCGGTTTTTATTCTAGAAATTTCTTTAAGCGATACCACAATGAATAACAGCTAGAAAATGATTCGATTCATGATAAACTCTCAAATTCGATTATTGCGCGTCATATTTTGTGCTTTGTGTGCATTGCGTACAAAACGTTTCATTTCACGCCGCGGGTGAGTTTCCTGGCGACATAAAAAAAGCGGGAAATTTCGCTTGTTTTTATTTCATGGCATACTAAAAGTCGTTTAGGATTTAGTAAATGCGATTTTTTTGGCCTTTTTTTCGAAATTTATTAAAAATGGAATTTTTCTGAAGACACACATTCTCAAGTACAGATTTCTAAAAAAATCAATATTTTTTTCCTGCAACTTACAGTAGACTACAGTAATCTCTAAATTACTATTTTAATCCCTAAAAAAATCTTTTTTCGAACGAACCCGCATTAATTCGGCGATTTCCGGTGGGATGGGACACTGAACGTTTTGTTGCTTCCGGAATAACCTAAAAATATTCTTTAATATTTTCAATTTCATTTCGATGAAATCTCACTTATCGAAGAAGATTCCGGTGCGAATCGCATTTGCAACCGATTTGAATTTCGGCTTTTCCCGCTTTTTCCCTGCATTTTGGCGGGTGAAAGTTGCGGCCAGCCATTCTCGGACCTGGAAAAAATGGAAAAATGATTTTTTGTTTTCTCTAAGGGTTCATTTTGGGTTTTATGTGAAGAACCTTATAATATATATTCAAAAAAATTCATAACTTCAAAATAAGAGAAAATATTGCGTTTTTTTATAAACGTACCATTTTTTTGGTTAAGAATCTGATATCATAATCTATAAAAAAAGACATGAAAATGGGAATTTTTTTAATTTTTATTTTTTTCTTAAAAAAATGTTAGAAGGCTCTGAAGAGTTTCTAGAAAATAATTTTGAAAATAATATTTTTATTAAAAAAAAATTAGTTTTCTTGAATTACTGTCATATTCACTAAAAGCTTTGAAAAAAGCTTAGATTATTGTAAGTTTCTTTAAAAAAATTTTGGATGTTTCTGAGAAAATTCCTTCAAGAGTTACTCATCCATTAAATGAAATTCCGGTTTCGGAACAAAATAAAATTTTAAAACAAACATTTTGACAATATTTTTTGGCCATAAACATCAATGATTATAAACTTCTAAAAAGTCTGCAAATTTCTTTTTTTTTTTCTCTTGGAGCGAAATCTACTTGTTAAAGGGAATTCAGAGTGGTCCCTACATGGGTAAAATAAAGGTGGTCCCTATAGGGATTTAGGGTATCACTTCTTGAGCCCTAAAGCTCAAGTGGTCCTTATAGGGGTTTTTCAAATTCCTTCTAAAACGCTCAATTAATTAGTTTTTCGCATATAGTTTATAACAATCACCGACCAGAATGACCCCTATAGGGAACACTTTTTTAAGCTTCAGTGGCGCCTATAGGGGCTGGTAAAGTGGTCCCTATAGGGGCCCTTGGAGGGAACTATGAAGTTTCCAAGCTTGGGTTGAAAATTATGCTTTTCTGTGAATTTTTACTGATTTTGATGATCAATTTGTTGCGAAAATAAATAAATGGATTGATTGAATTTCTAACTTTTTGCCAAAAATATCGGCTCAAGATTCAGACCCGGTAATTTGTCCAAAAAAATCCTGAAGCTATGCTTTTTTTCGCCATCACGGCGTTTTTTCGACGACGCCACTATTTCTCCGTAAAGTGTCGTGTGTCGTGTGCATGCACTGCGCCGTTTTCGCGCAGAAAATTGCGTTAATGTAGAGAAATTTCGATTCGTCTTGAAAACTTCTGACAATACAGCGGCCTGCGCCTTTAATAAGCCCTGTTATTTTCATTCTTAAAGCCGAAATCTCTGCCGTTCCCATGACGTCACGTGGGAACGGTGGATATTTTAACTCCGCCCACCGTTTTTTTGTTTTTGCTTCCACTAACAAAGACGCCGTGCCATATTCTTGAAGGTTTAAGTTTATTTGTGTTATTTATTTCAGACTTTCCATTTCCCAGATATATATATTAAAGGTACATGGTGCAAAAAAAAACCTCGTCAGGAACGGTTTCCGGCGTCACTTCGGCCAAATCGTCGTCCTCATCGCAAATTCGCCTGCAAAAGCTTTAAACTGCTTTTTTCGCCGCTTTTTTCAACCAAGGAAGATTTATTTTCTCCTAATCTCTACCATTCTCCCCCTACTCTTTTTTTCGGCTGTTTATTTTTCTTTGAAGTAAATTTTTTTGGTAAAAAAAGCTGAAAATCTGAAAAAAATAGGTCAATTTCTACAGAAAAAAAAAAAAAAGGAAATTTTTGATCCCATACCAAGAAAAACGTGTCGTTTCTCAAAAATTCAAAAAAAGCAGTTTTTTTGAATTTTTGTCAGAATTATTGAAAAAAACTGTCTTTTTTTCAAAGTTCAAGGATATGTGTTTAAAAAGTCCTTAAAAAAAATCAAGAAAAAGCTGTTTTTTTCATAATTTAGACGATATGCAAGAAAAAAACGGTGTGTTTCCGTAGTTGTAGAAAAAAATCAATAAAAACCTCTTTTTTTCAGAATTTTTTTGAAAAAAATCAAGAAAGCTGTCTCTTTTTCCAAAACCTGCTACAAAAAAACGCAAAAATTCATCTTTCTCATCTTTTTCAAATGAAAAATTGACCTTTTTTTTTTTTTTCATCGGTTTTTTTCGACTATTTGTCTTTTTTTAAGACAGACTTTTTCAAAAATTCTTGTAAAAGGGTGCTAAAAAATTAACAAAAATCCACATTTGCCGAACAAAAATTGAAATCTCCACCTTGTCTCGTCCATGTAGGCCGTTTCCAGGACCAACGCCGCATATTCGATATTTCTTTTGAGGTCTTCCAAAGGCAGTTGGCCGCTGTTCAGTTGGTGGAGGATGTACCGTAGCCTGGAAAATTTCCCTTATTTCTTTTTGAAAAAATTTTTTCGAAAAACCCCTGTTGAATTGAATTAAATTAAAGACTACATTTTTACGCAAACGCGTCACGGATGTGGCCGAGCAACTATAGGGATCACTTTAGCGTCGTTAGAACTCTTAAGTCACCCCTTGAAGTTTTCAGGAACGTTCGGTTAGCGATTTCTTTTCATTTTCAGAAGGAAAGTTGCTCTTTAATAATAATAACGATAACAGACTTCAAACGACACTAAAGTGATCACTTGAACTGTGGATGATCAAACGGCGCTAAAGTGACCCCTAGAGTTACTCAGCAACGTCCGGTTTGCGATTTTCTTTTCATTTTCAAAAGGAGAGTTGCCGTTCAGACTGCTAACGACACTAAAGTTATCCCTAGGACTTCAACTGATATGAAAGCTAGCACCGCTAAAGTGATCCCTTGAACTCAAGCTTATAAGAAAACTAATTCCGCTGAAGTGATCCCTAGAGTTACTCATAAACGTCAGGTTTGTGATTTATTTCATTTTCTAAAGGAAAGTTGCTGTTCAGACTGCTTACGACACTATAGTGATCCCTAGAATGGAAAATGATGAAAGTGCTAACGCGACTAAAGTGAGCGCAAGAACTGTGGCTGACAGGAGAACAAACGACACTAAAGTGACCCCTAGAGCTGCTCAGCAACGTCCGTTTTGCGATTTTCTTTCATTTTCGAAAGGAAAGGTGCTGATAAAAAAAAAAACTAATACCTCTTAAGTGATCCCTAGAAGTTCTCAGAAAAGTCCGGACCGCCCAATTACAGTTTCTACGAACCTATAGCATCATTTTTCGTCTATAGTTTGATCAGTTTTCAAACTTCTTTTATATTTTTCTAACCACTTATCTCTATACCCTATGAAGTGAATGAACCTATTATTATTCAGAAAAAAATGAAGATTTTTCCAGTTTTTCCAAGAACTTTTCGACCTGCAAGAGTGCTTCCGAAGCACCAACTGGTAGAATCCGAACGTGTCCCCGACGATCATCATTTCCCCGGCGCCAATTTACCTTTCAACCCAATTTTCTTGATTTTTTAACTATTTCGACAACTAAAAAACGAACGGGAACTTTCAAGAAAATACAAGAAAAATGATCGAGAGGAAAAAGGCATGAAAATAAAGTGAAAATCTAAAAAAAAGCAAGTTTTCAAGAGATCTGTGAGCTTACTGTATCTAAAAATTCCCAGGTTACTGTAGATCTTAGAAAAAAAATTTTTCACACGCTTTAAAAAAAAATTATCTTGTCAGTATCATGATTTTAAAGAAAAAATAGTCCAAAATGAATTTTTTAAACATTTTTAGAAGACTTCCTTTCAAACCTGACTCAAACAGGTTTCAAAACGATTTAATAAAACTTTTTTTAAAACTTCAATCAATCTTCGAAACCTTTAATAGCAAAAAAATATAAATTGTTCTAAATTTTTCCATCAATATTACACAAAAAAAATAGCACATAGGCATCTGAAAATCGTAATTTTGAAAAATTTCCAACGCTTTGTGGTGTCGAGCAACATACGGTTGTGCCTTCAGAAGGATTTGAGCTAGAAAAAAAAATTTTGATCTCAGGTTTTAGAAAACAAAAATGGGCATATCGCTATAGAAAATTAAAAAATCATCATTTTTTTGATTTTAGAGGCCTCTTTCATCGAAACCTATAACTTGACGTTTTCTTTTTCGCGCTATATAATTATTTTTGTGAACCTTTAATATTGGACGTTCTTTTCACGTGGTGAGGCTAATAATTGACTAATTGTAGTGTACTTGTTGCCTAATTGACAGGAATAAGTTAATCAGATTGATTGAAGCGTACAAAAAAAAGGGAAAAGCTCAAAAAGACACACACGCAGGTACATGCTGAAGTAGATAAATGGCTAATATTTTGTGGATTTTTTGAAAGATTTTTTCTCAAATTGGTTATGAAAAATGGGCGTTTCAGGAAAGTTTAATAATGCTCAGGTAAATCCTGGGAAGGTGATGGAAGGTGTATGGAAGCTAGAAGGTCTTGAGAAAGCCTTTGGAAGGTGCAAATGAAAAATGCTTTCCAGAAGCCTGCTGGAAGGCTTCCGACAGGCTTTTTTTTCTAAGTAGACGGTGTTAGGAAGCTCTGTGGAAGGCGTTTGACCACTTGCTGGAAAGCTTCCGAACGCCTTCCGAGCAACCGGAAGCAGAAGCTTCCCAAATTTTACCTCAGTCGTCATTTTGCGATTTTCCCAAGACCCTCTCGTCAAACTTATAAGTAGCAGATGACGTTTTCAACCCGACTATATAATTATTTTTATATATCCCTAATCATACACATTCTTTGCACGTACTCGGCAGACACCTCGGCCCGGTGCAACCCCCAAATTTGCTCTCTTTTCCCCATCTTTTGCACTTTGCAAGTGGTAGTGACAAACCGTAACATTTTCGAGTCTTTTTCGTGCGAAAGGAGAGGCTGCACAGTGCTGACCACGAAATTCAAAATGCAAGAAAAAAAAAATTATTATCAACGGTGCGACTTAACCTATTCCCATGGGGCGCAAAAGAGGTAAGCTATTACGATAGCTGCAGATTCTATTTAAGTTCAAAAAGATCTACTAAATAAAATTTTTAGAATTGAATTTGAGAAAATTACAGATTTGAGATTCGCTTTTTTTCGCTCGCTTTCTCCCCTGAAATTGCACTGAATTGACTCGGAATTTCGAAAAACTCCACTCTCGAGGTCATTGCGCAATAAAAATGTCACCGCGCTCGGTTCTGCCCCTGAATGTGCGAGAAAAAAAGCACCGAAAAATTTAAAGGCCGCATCCCAGATAGGGTCTGCCCGGAGCATAATTCCTGCCGAGTAGGGAACTCAATGATTAACCAATTGTCAAGGATTTTTTGCTTGATTGACTGGAAAAAAGTTAATTGAATTAATTATAACGTACAAAAAAAAAAGAAAAAAAGCTTAAAAACACCAAAACACACACCGAGGTATGTGCTGAAGTCAAGATTTTATTAACATTGTGAATTTGTTTCAATTTTGATTCCGAAACATGGGCATATTACTGTAGGAAAAACCTAAAATAGTCATTTTTCGATTTTTCAAGACCCTCTGGACAAATATCGTAGGTTTACGTTTTCAACTCGACTATATAATTATTTTTGTAAGTCTCTAATATTATACATCGGTAGTGGTATGTCCAATGATTAATTACTTCTGAAGGATTTTTTGCTCAATTAAATGTGAAAGGTTCATTAAATTATTTGAAAGGGACAAGGAAAAGGTAAAAAGCTCAGGACGACCACAGGTGTGACTCAGGTGGCGGAAGGAAACGATTCATAATTTATCCATCGAAAAATGGCTTTATCACTGTAGGAAAGTCTAAAAATCGTCATTTTTCGATTTTTTCAAGACCCTCTGGACAAACCTCATAACTTTACATTTTCAACAAGACTATATAATTATTTTTGTCATCCCTAATCATACACATTCTTTCCACGTGGGAAACTCAATGATTGACCAATTGTAAAGGATTTTTCGCATAATTAACTAGAAAAAGCTAATAAATTAATTGGAAGGGACAAGAAAATCGGGAAAAGCTCAACACGACCACAGGTGTGACTCAGGTGGCGGAAGGAAAGCGAAAAAAAGGCGGTGTCTAGAAGTCGGGATGGGGGGATAACGATCCCTTCCCGAGCCCATTCCATCCCCATCCATCCATCCATCAGCCATATCTTCTCTCAGGCTTCATCCCCCCCCCTTTTCTCCCGTACGTCTTCTCGTTTTTGAGCCGACGGAAATGGCGGATGAGCTTCTGGGCGTTGCCATGGCATCACTTCCAACTCCTCTTCCTTTTTCGGCGAAAGCGCGTCTTTTGGGAAGATTCTCGAGATTAGAACCTTCTTGCGTCTTTTCTTCGAGAAGTTGGGTGACTCGAGAATCGGAAAGATTCATCGGATCTCGGACGTTTCTGAGCCCTTCTAGTGATCACTTAAGAGCTCTGACGCCCCTTAAAGGGATTACTAGGATTGCTCAGAAACTTACGGTTTGAGTTACGAAGGGCCGAGCATATAAAAATTGACTTCAAGATAGAAAACGAAAAATTTTTGAGCTCAAAAAGGCCTTGGAAAGCTCAAAACTCAGTGATCTAGAAGATTAATCAGACCTCGGAAGTTTCTGAGCCCTTCTAGTGATCCCTTAAGTGCCGAAGCCCCTAAAGGAACCCCTAGGAATGCTAAAAAACGTCCGGTTTGCGTTAATAAGGTCCGAGCAGGTAAAAATTGGCTCTTAATTGAAAAAAGCTATTTTTTTAGCTCAAAAAGGCTTCGTAAAGCTCGAAACTCAGTGATCTAAAAGATTAATCGGACCTCGGACGTTTCTGAGCCCTTCTAGTGATCCCTTAAATGCCGAAACTCCTAAAGGTACCCCTAGGGATGCTAAGAAACGTCCGGTTTGCGTTACCAAGGTCCGAGCTTGTTAAAATAGAGTTTTAGCTCAAAAAGGCCTTGGAAAGCTTAGAAAATTTCAAGTGTTCACTTAAATGCCGAAACCCCTAAAGGGATCCCTAGAAATTCTCAGAAACTTCTTATTTGCGTTACCAACGTCCAGAAAGGTGGAAATTGGCTTTTAGGTCAAATTCGCAATTTTCTAGCTCAAAAAGACTTTGGAAAGCTCAGAACTCAGTGATCGAAAAGATTCAGTAGACCTCGAACGTTTCTGAGCCCTTCTAGTGATCCCTTAAGAGTTCCGAACCCCCTAAAGGGACTTCTAGGAATGCTCAGAAACGTCTTATTTCCGTTACCAAGGTCCGTGCAGAAAAAAAAAGTTGACTTTTAGGTCAAAATCGCCGCTTTGAAGCTTGAAAAGAAGGTCTTGAAAGCTCAGTGAAAAAAACTGATTTTTAACAAGGAATTTTCTGAGTTCACAGTGAGACTTCTGAATAGGAGCAGGCTCACTAAATGCAGTTTTTCAAACGGATTCCAAATCTGGTCCTAAAAACTACCCTCAAAATCTGTGAAAAAAGGTAGACCACATTTAGTGAACACAGCCACATTCAGAAGTCCCACTGTGAGCTTACCAGGGAATGGTCTCCGATCGCAGTGGGACCCCCGAAAAAGACCAAGTTCGCTAAATGTAGTTTTTTACGCTGATTCCAAATCTGTTTTCAAAAGTTGCCCAATACATCTGTGAAAAAAGTTATGAACCCTCAAAAGTCGAAAATTCCAGTGTCTTCGATTGAACTTATTTTCTTATGCTTGGCGGAGCTTTGAAAATAAACACTTGGTTTGAAAAAAAAAGACTTGTTTTATGTTATCAGAATGACGAGATCTATATACCCCCTAAAAATGAGCTCGATCAAAGACATTGGAATCTTCGACTTTTGAGAGTTCATAACTTTTTTCACAGAGCTCCTCGGCAATTTTTGAGACCGGATTTGGAATCAGGGTATTAAACTACATTTAGTGAACTTGGTCTTTTTCGGGGGTCCCACTGCGACCGGAGACCATTCCCTGGTGAGCTCACAGTGGGACTTCTGAATGTGGCTATGTTCACTAGATGTGGTCTAACTTTTTTCACAGATTTTGAGGGTAGTGTTTAAGACCAGATTTGGAATCAGTTTGAAAATATGACGTCAAGCTCGAAATCGCCATTTTTCCCTTGCAAAGCAGAAATCAACGATCAAATAAAATTATCAAAAAAATCACTGTTTCAAATGAAAATCGCCTTTCTTTTTTTGAGCTTTTTTTATTGGGTTTTTCACCTATCTTTAAAAAAATGAACACTTCTGACTCTGGATTTTTTTGAGAATATTTTTCAAAATAACGACCTCTTTGAGTTTTTTTCTATAGGTAGAAGCTTGGAAAATATTTGAAAAAGTCCAATTGGTACAAAAATGGTCCGTTTAAAAGGGATAGGTCAAAAAAATCCATTTTACTAAGTATTTCAAGATTTTTCGCTCGAAAAATTCTGTAAAGGCTTCGGATATATTTAAAAAAAAATCTAATCCAAAGATTAGTTTTTTTCACAAAATTCATTTTGTTGATTGTCCAGACCACAATCTTTGTATTTTCAGCTCCAAAAAAAGAGATGGGAACAAAATTTGGATCATCCTGAGCTAATCCGAGAAGCTGCAGTAAAAAAATAACCAGAAATAGATTTTAAAAATTTACAAAATCGAGATATTTTTAGTTTCTCTTTCCCGTTTTCATATACCGACAAAAATTGATCCAGTTAATTTATTTTAATTCAATTAGATTCCGAGTAATTTCATATTCCATATCGAAAAAAAGAGAAAAATTATTAGAAAATTCAAAAATTCAAAATAAAAAAAGCGGCATTGAAACGGTGAACTAGGCTAAAATTGCTTTTTTTGTTTATGTTCAATATTTTTTTGTTTTTTTCGATTTTAAAATCGAATAATACCTTAAAAAAATTCACTTTTTTTCTAGAACTCGTACGATTCTTTATTGTGGACAAACATGAAATATTCACGGCAAAAAAATGAGGATTATATGGTTTTTTTGGAGTGAATTTCAAGTCAAACTCGTTTTTTTGAACTATTTGGCTCAAAAAAAATAACTTAAAAAAAAATTTGACACATTTTTTTGAATGAATTATAGGGAAATAGAGGAAAAAAACGTGAATTTTTTTAAAAAGTCCAATGATCAGATTTTTGTAAATTCAGACTTCGAAAAATTTTTTTATATTGAAAAATGAAACCAAAAAAAGCAGCATTGAAACAGTGAACTAAGTTAAAATTGATTTTTCACCTGATGAAAATAATCAATTATTTTTTTGTACAAATTCAAAATAAGAAAAAAACTTTTTTCAAGAAAAATTTGAACGATATGCTTTTGTGGCTCTTTTTTCGGGATTTTCGCTCTTTTTTTTGAAGTTGAGATGAAGCTTTAGATTGATCTAATGAGTCTATATTTCGAGATTATTGATTTTTTTGAAATTCAATTATTTAAAGTCTAATAGATCAAAGTACAAACTATAACCACAAAAAAAGCCGGATTGAAACTGTGAACTAGATTAAAATCGCTTTTTTTGAAAATCAAGATTTTTTTATTATTTTTTTCCAACACCCAAAAAAAATAAAGAAAAAGTAATTTTTTTATAGTTAAAATATGCTGAAAAAAAATACGAATTTTTTTGAGCAGTTTTTCCCCCATTTTGAATAAAAAAATAAAGAAAACGAACTTATCGATGGCGTCCAAGGCGGCGACGTTGTCGTAGGACGTCTTCGGGTCCACGTCTTCCTGTTTTTTCTCCTTCGAGGTGCTTTCATTTCGACGGAGAAGACTGACCGGCCTATCACGAGCGTCCACTGAAAATGCAAATATTCCCAACTTTACTGTTTCACAAATTTGATTTTTCATGAAACCTGAATTAGATCTAGTTTAGAAATACTTTTGATTCTTTAAAAAAAAAAGAAAATTCCTCGTTTTCGACTCGAGACGCTTCAAATTTGACTTTTTAATGAAATTGTACCTTACTTTACTGTTTCAAAAAGTTCATGAACTCATATATTCGGTTCTCATCATTTTTGATGATATTCGAATGAAATCTACTTCAAAAACCTCAAAAATTTGGTTGAAAAAAAAAGAAAATTCCTCTTTTCTGAGTTAAGATGCTTGAAAACTTGCAGAAAATGTAGTAAAACTGAGAAAAAAAGATGTTTTTTTCAGGGAATTTCAGAATAAAATGATATTCAACTTTACGGTTTCACAAATTTTATTAATTATGAAATTTGAATAAAATCGACTTTAAAGAGTTGGTGTAGTTGGAAAAAAAGAGAAAATTCCTCGTTTTTCGACTCGAGACGCTTCAAATTTACCAAAATGTGTAGAAAAAAAGTGGGAAAAAAAGACGTTTTTTTCAGGGAATTTTAGAATAAAATGATACTCAACTTTACTGTTTCACAAATTTCATTTATGATGAAATTTGGTCTGAATTTGTTTCATTGAATGGAAAAATAAAGCCAGCAAATCTTCCAATTTTTTTCATTTTGCGTGGAACTTTTTTTCTCGGAAAAACTATTCGTTTCGAATTTTCTTATATAATTCAGTTAGTGGAATCAAGTCTAAACAGGAAAAACGTTATTAGACCGAAAAATATAAGGGAAAAAAGCCGGAAAATTCGTTGGTTTTTTTTCTCATATCACCTAAAATCATACATGAATAGACCATTTTTTAAGGCCGCTTTCGAGTTTTTATAAATTAAAGTCAGTACTGCTTCCCCATTAAAACTAATTTTCATACCTTTTTCAAAAATTTTGAAAGTCATCCCCTCCTCCTGGACCAGTTAAGTCCTTTACTTGCCTGAGTACTGGGAAAATATTGAGTGGCCACTATAGAGGTTCTTTATTTAGTGGCCACTTCAGTAGTTTTTCACCGAGTATTCCTTCCAGTAACTCTAATTTCAAAACAAACAGATTGGACCAGTTATGTTGATCCAATGACCCCTAAAGCGGCCACTTAACACTTAAGTGGTCTAGTAGTAGCACTTAGACTTCTATAGTGACCACTAATGTTAAACCCCTTTAGTTGACACTAATTTGACTACTATAGTAGCCAATAAAACGTCAAAACCCTATAGTGGCCACTAAAAATAATTAAAGTTATCACAAATACTCTCTCAAAAATACCTTTTGACAAACTACACAACAGCTTCGAAGATTTATGAATCTTTTAAAATTTTTTTTTGTTGAATCATTGAAACAGTGATGTATTTTAAGACGCTCTTAATTACACAATTATCTTCGGAATCTTCTCAAACATATATTTTTATTCGATAAATATGGATTCTCCTATTGCTTTGAACTTTTTTTCGAAGTCTTTTTTAAATTATCATTGAAACTTATGTGATTTAGGATGATTGAAGTTCCACTATTTTACCAATATCATTTCTAAAAAAATAGCGAATTTTTCGAACGTTTCCGACTTTTTTTCTAGATAAACTCTTTGATTTGAACCTTCCTTTATAAAATAGATAGGAATAAGAAAAAAATCGGAGAATTCGCCGTTCAAAAAAATTAGCTTGTTTTTCTTATCACCCTAAAACCCTCTGGATTGAGAAAATATAAAAATTTCTTAATTTTTTTACTCAAAAATTTTTCGAGTCCAGGAGCTAGAAATTGAGGAAAAAAATGAGGAAAAAAATAAAACAAAAAAACTTTTTTTGGGAATTTTTCAATTAAATTATCCTCAACTTTACTGTTTCACAAAATAAATTTAAATGAATCTTGGATTAAATGAAATCAACTTCTAGACGAATCAAAAAGACAAAAAAATAAATAAAAATATATTATCCGAGTTGAACGCTTAATATTCGCAAAAATAAGAGGCGAAATTGTTTTTTTATGAATTTAAAGCGTTGTATAAAATTAACATAAATGAAACTACATTTTTTTCGAAAAATCAAATATAATAATAATTAATATTTCCAGATTTTTTTAGCTAGGCTTGAAAGTTCTAAAGTACAATTTAGCCTTTTTTTCATCAAAATTTTTAATCGGATACCAAAAAAATATGTATATAACTGAATCATTCATTATTGAAAAAAATACGAAAAATATCCATTGGAATCTGTTGCTCCTAATTATGTCAGTACACAAAGAAGGAATTTTTCCTTTTATGAAAGTTTTGAAACGTATCGAAATCATGTCATTTCTTCTTTTTTTATGGTAAAAATCAGCGTATTGAATAAAAATTTTTGAGAATTATCATGAAAATGAATGAGAACAAGTTGCTTTTACATTTATATAATTACAAACTTGTTAAATTAAATACAGGAACTTTGAATAAAAAGCCGAAAATAAAAAACTAAAAGAAGGATGAAAAAAGTGAAATTGAAATAAATCATTAAAAACAAACAAACCTGGACCTGAATTTATACAAAAAATACGAGATGGCAAATTCGAAATTTAAATTTGTGAAAAAGAAATGTTCGAATTTGTTTAAATATTTGTAAATATTTACAAAAAGAAACTAAAAATTTTCAAATTTAGATGGTACGATTTTATCTCAAGTCCGCAAATCTCCGCAGCCGTTATCTCAGAGTACCGTAATCTCAAGGCCCATGATCTCCAAAACCACTTATCTCCGAAAACAAAAAACTTCTATTTTCTTTCTCTTTTTCGCATTTTCTTTCACTTTTTTCTTGTGTTGTGCTCAGAATACAATATCCGATGGAAATTTTTCGCCGAACCCTAATTTATTCATAAAGTTTCTACTTTTAATGAAAAGCTGAACAATTCCAAGTTGAGTTAATTGGTAGTTCGAGTTTCACTCTTTTTTTCTTTGCTGTCAACATGAAAAACTGATCAGAGATACTGAAGGACAAGAAAAAATAGAAAGAAATGTCGATTTGAAAAATTGAAAACTATTTTCACTCAGTGGAAAAAATAAAAAAGTTTGAAAAACAAAAATATTTGGCTTTCGTACGCAGTTTCGTTCGGAGATTGTATTCTGAGCACAACGCAAGAAAAAAATAATAATAAAATGCAAATCAGAGAAAGAAAATAGAAGTTTTTTGTTTTCGGAGATAAGTGGTTTTGGAGATTATGGGCCTTGAGATTACGGTACTCTGAGATAACGCCTCCGGAGATTTGCGGACTTGAGATAAAATCGTACCATCCAAATTTAAATTTATTCGAAATCAAAATACACCGCGTTGCGGACTGACGCAATTCTATACCGAAAACGCACGAAACAGTAGTCGAATTTTTTCTTCATCTACTTTTTATTATTAAAATGAATAAGAAGATATTTAATGAATTTTTCGTGGAGCTTTTTTTATCAAGTTTGATTATTTTTATTTTTAAAAACTTCGATTTATCTTACACTTTCAAAACGTTACACTTGAAAAAAATATTGAAAAGCGATACTTTATGAGAAAAAAATATTCATTGTGATACCGAAACCTTCTGAAAAAAATTATTTAAAAAAAATTTTTAAAAAAATCAGATCTAAAAATCAGAATCTTTTTTTCAAAATATTCATATACATTTTTTTCCCCCTTTCAAACATTTCTGAATCCCCCAAGACACAGCCAAATGCCAGCTACAGTACCCTCAGAAATAGGTCTCCCGTCGGCCGCCGACGACGTGCTGGGCGGCATCGTCATCGCCGAGAAGACCAACATGCCACGGCGGCCATCCAATACAGTACCCTCTTTTCTTACTGTAGGCTTTTTTCAGCGAATGGGAAGAAGCTAAATGGTGAGTTTAAAGGCGCAAGGAGTCGGGTCTCGCGACGAAAAAGAGTAGAATCCAAGAAATAGGTGATTTTTCTGCTTCAGTAAAAGTTGGGGTGGAGAAGAACGAAAATTCAAGAAAAAAATTTTTTTTTTCTATGATATCACCAATGAGAGAGGAGAGAGCGCAGACAGGCTGAATAATTTTTTTGCAGAAAACAGTGAGTTTAAAGGCGCAGATGGGTCTCGCGACGAAAAAAAGAAAAAGTAATAAAATATTAAGTGATATTTCTGTTTCAAAAGAAACTGGGGTAAAAGAGTATATAAATTTGTAATAATTTTTTTTTCTAGAGAGAGGAGAGAGCGCAGACAGGCTAGATTCATTTTTTGCCAAAAATTTTTTTTACGAAGCCGGAAAATAGTAGAAATGCGGGAATTATCACCACCAGGCTGATAATTTTCTTATCGCTCCACAAATAAAAAGGAAAGTTTTGATATTGATAAGAATTTCATAAACTTCACGGTTAAAAACTGTCTGACCTGTCTGCGCCCTCTTTTCTCTCGCCGGGAAGGTAGGAGAGAGGGAAGAGATCGCTCAAAAAGGTTCAAATCAAGATAGAAAAAGGAGGAGAGCGTTCAAAAAGTTCAAAATAAGATAGAAAAAAAGAAGAGAGAGCCCAGAGAAACCAAAGAAAAAGAGGATCTTTCAGAAAAAAGCCGAGAAAAATCGAGAAGAAGCGCAATTTCCATCATGAAGCTTGAAAATATAATAATGATTTCGCCATCTTTCTGTTTTGACAACACATTAGCCAAGTGATGCGAGCGGTTGACGTCTTCTCCATAATTGAAAATCGTCCAAGAGGAAGAAAATATTCTCAAAAAGCAGGTTATCATAGATAATATTGATAGAATGATGAGAGGATTCCTGGAAAAACTAATAAAAATGCGGTTGGCCGGAAATTGGAAAATTTCGTCGAAAAATCGACGTAAAAGGGGTTCGAGAGTCGCTTTTTCTTCATGGGAAAAGTCTAAAATCTGGAGATTTTTTTAAAGTTCTGATCAGCCTCACGGTTTCTAGCGTTTTCATTCTACTCTTTGAATTTTAGAAGTCCATAAAGATTTTGAGCAAAAAAATCTTATGGATAAGTTCTCTGATGAGGAGAAGTCTTCACAAATTCAGAAATTTTGATCATGAAAAAAGACGAATTTAGAAAGAAAATGGCTATCGAATTCATTTGGAACGGTTTCAATTTCAATATTCACGTCAGAATCCTTAAAAATAATAATGACAAAAAACAAGTTGGCGGCAAAAGGATTCGAACCCTCATGCAAGGCTCCGTTGGCTAACACGCTAGCCACTCCACTATGCACCTGGTACTCGTGCAATGGTTGGTGGCGCGGCCAAATTCCTTTTGAACAGCGTCAGATGGTTAAGGATAAAAAATTTAAAATATCATATCTCAAAACTAGAAATTTGCGCAGTTAGCGACTATGTGAAATCGATTTTTAGTCCCTCAAAGATTGATTCATCAAATTAATAAAAAAAATTCTGAACCATATACTAAAATGACCTCCCTTGTTAGGTCTTTCTGGACTTTGGCCATTTTTTTAAGATTTTGCGAATTTTTCAAACTTTCAAGTTCTCAAAGGGTATGAAAAAAGCAAAGAAAATCCAGGAAAATTGGAAAAAAATTACAAAATTCCACCATTTTCCTTGGGATAAAAACGTAAAAACTCGGATTTTAAGCGAAAATGAAGGGAAAGAAGTTGCTGGTTCGATCGGTAAGACTATAATTAGTGAGGAAAATTGCCATGGGGATTAAATATAGACGTGTGGAAAACAACGATTTTCAAAGCTTTTAAAGCGTTTCAAAACAGACTTCCGTCTGTTTCGAGGCGCTCTAAGTGCCTCGGAACCGTGTGGAAATGTGGTTTCGAACGATTTTCAAGCCTTGGAAACATCGGTTTCTGATTGAGAACGAGTTTAAGTGGGAAAAAATTGAAATTTTTAACAGGGCACTTTTTTTTATTTTGAAATTCTTAAAGCTGAAGCTGTCTAGACAAGAAAATGACGTAGATAACATTAAAAAAATGCTTATAATAGCTTTTCTTGTTACTTTCATACCATTAGTGAGAAAAAAAATAAAATCATTGGAATTTTTTTAAACTTTTTTTCATTAGCGAAAGGTCAAATTATCAAAAAAAGTCTTACGATTGTTAGTGAAACAGGAATATCCGCTAAAAAAATGATCTTCCAGCCTCTAGAATCTAAAGAACTTTAAATTTTTCTATAGATGTGCTCGTTGATCAGAAATTTGAAAAAAATGATAAGAATCGGTAAAATAATCCGATTAACGCCTGAAAAACATAATTAAACCGCAATCAAATGTCTTTGACGTCAATTTCGAATATTTTTGAATCATGGAATCCGGTTCAAAAAGCTTCATAACCTTTCTGAGAAAAAAACTGAAGTCGTTTCAAAATTTTTAAATCAAAGGAATATAAGTTCATTTCGTGAGACAGAAAATCTGATTTTTATCAAAAAAAAGGCATTTCTTAAAAATAGAATCACAAGAAAAAAATAATAAAATTATTACTGATTTTTGAACTTCAAACTTATACTCAATCAACCTATTAACCTTTCAAATGTGAACTCTGGAGCTGGAAAAACCGGAAAAATTTTAAAAAAATTGTGAATCCCGTGAATTAAGGCTCAAAAAGATAGCCCTAGATAAGAACTTTGTATACAATTTTTTCTTATAGAATAAAAAAAAATTATTTTTATGAAATCTCCAGAAATATATTAATTTTAAGTTTCAAAGCTCTCGCCAAAGATAAATAAGAAAAGAATCAAGAAGAAAAATCAATTTTTGAGTAGGTTCACCACCGATTTTCCCTCAAACTGTTGTCAAAAAAATCGAACAATCTTTATTTCTCAAGAAATCTACACTTTAAGGTTCAATTCGATATAAAATAACCCCAAAGAAAGATCTATCTACTATCTCAAAATGGAAAATATGAGAATCAAGTGGAAAATTCAATTTTTAGCAAGATTTACCGTTGATTTTCCCTGAAAATGTGACCGAAAAATCAAAAAATCTTCTTTTTCCGATAAAATCTACACTGCAAGCTTCAGTTCGACATAAAATAACGACAAAGAAAGAAAAAAATCAGGTGGAAGAGGCGAGAAATCAGGAAAAGATTTTTCTAGCCTTTCAAAATAAATTTTTAGGTAGATTTACCGTTGATTACCCTGAAAATGTGACCGAAAAAAATCAAAAGAATCTTCATTTTTTTCGATAAAATCTACACTTCAAGCTTCAATTCGACATTAAAAAAATAAAGGAAAAAAATCAGGTGGGCCGAGTGAAAAAAATCGGGAAAAAGATTTTTTTCTAGCCTTTCAAAATCAATTTTTCAGGTAAATTTACCGTTAATTACCCTATGATCAAAAAAATCAAAAAAATCATTATTTCTCAAGAAAATCTACACTTCAAGCTTCAATTCGACATTAAAAAAATAAAGGAAAAAAATCAGGTGGGCCGAGTGAAAAAAATCGGGAAAAAGATTTTTTTCTAGCCTTTCAAAATCAATTTTTCAGGTAAATTTACCGTTAATTACCCTATGATCAAAAAAATCAAAAAAATCATTATTTCTCAAGAAAATCTACACTTCAAGCTTCAATTCGACATTAAAAAAAATAAAGGAAAAAAATCAGGTGGGCCGAGTGAAAAATCGGGAAAAGATTTTTTCTAGCCTTTCAAAATCAATTTTCAGGTAAATTTACCGTTAATTACCCTATGATCAAAAAATCAAAAAATCATTATTTCTCAAGAAAATCTACACTTCAAGCTTCAATTCGACATGAAACAACCACAAAGAAACGAAAAATCAGGTAAAAGAGGCGAGAAATCGGGGGGAATCGTGTGCAGTTGTTGGTTTTTTGGGGGTCCATCAATCTGTGTTTTTGGTTATATTTCCTGGCTGGAAACAGCTGCCCTTGGTCGCCCCGTTTGTTTTCCCGCCCCACGCATCTGTCAACTTTTAACTTTTTACTAATTCTTCTTCTTCTTTACTCGGCAAACAGCCGCTTAACAACCGTTTTCAAAGTTTTTAACAAGTCGAGGCTGAAAAAGTCAAAAGATGTCAAGGAGCTTGGAGAAGCTCTATTGGCCACTCAAGAGGGACCTCAAGAGGTACTTAGAGAGGCCACTAAAATGGCCATTTTCATAGAAACCACTATCCTGCGTCTTAGTGGCCACTATAGTAGTTTCAGCGGTCTAATAGTAGCAATAAAACTTCTAAAGAGGCCCCTAAGTTCTAGCCTTTTAAGTGGCCACCTAAGGACTACTATAGTGGTCATTAAGACGCCTAAAGTGGCCACTAAACCGTTTTCGAAGTTTTTAACAAGACTGGGAAAATTTTTAGTGACCACTATAGTCTATAGAGGCTTGCCAAGGACTACTTGGAAAGGATTCTAAAGTGGCCACTAAACCCACCTTTATAGTGACCACTATTTTCTCTGATAATTTTAAAACAAACAGAAAATTAAAAATGTCAAGTAGCTGAGAAAAGCCCTAGTGGCCACTTAAGGGGTTCGTTGGAGGGGCCACTAAAGTGACCACATATATAGAAACCACTATTTTTGGTCTTAGTGGCCACTATAGTAGTTTTAGCGGTCTAGTAGTACAAATAAGACTTCTAAAGAGGCCCCTAAGCTCCAGCCTCTCAAGTGGCCACCTATTCGACTACTATAGGGGCCACTAACACGTCGAAACCCTAAGGTGGCCACTAAGAGCTTTTCCAAGAGGAAAAATTTATCTTCAAATTTTTTTATTATGTATTTTCTTTCGAAATTTTCCCCAACTTTTGATCTTTTGATTTCGCGAAATTTCTTCCTTGATCCTACTTTTTTTTTTCCACAAAGAGCCATTTTTCAACATAAACCATATTGTTAATATTTTGAGAGATTGAGTAGCTTCTCAGAAAAATTCATACCCCAAGCTCTCAAAAAAACAACTTTTTTTCGGAGAATAAATTGTCATGAATAGGGTATAATTTAACAAAAAAAACGCGTCAAACAACTGAAAACCAAAATTCTCTATTTCTTCGAGAAATTTTGAAGTTTCATGAAATTTTCAGCTTGCGAGACCCTTCAAGTAAGTAGGAATTTTTTGAAAATCTTGAAAAACTCTCAAAAAAAAAGCGTGAACGTTTAAATTTGTAGGCAGACATTCACCAAAATCAGAAGAACTTTTTAAATTCCCACAAAAATGGAAGAAATTATCAGGATCCCAGAAACTAACTTCTTAGCTTTTCTCAGTAGAAAAAGACTCTTTGTAACTTGAAAAACGGAAGCTGAATCTCAATCGAAACCTGAATCTCAATCGAAACGAATCGAAAGAATCTCAATCGAAACCTGAAATTTTTCAGATTCCTTGTCAAAAAGGCCATTCTCACAAGGGAGGTCATTTAACTTTGCGGTTGGGATTTTCCTCATTTAATTAAAATTCTGAAATTTTAAGAATGAATAGACTTTCGAAATGGAAAAGAGAAAAAATTGCCGAAACTTGAAAACTCGAAAAATTAATTTTGAGAAGGAATCGGTCAGAAGGTAGAGGTCATCATAAAATTTCAAAGGTTGAATTTCGAATTCTTTCAAAAAAAAAAAACTCGACTTGATTGGTTAGATTGTACTAAAAATTCAGAAGCTGAACCAAAAAATTTCACCAAAAAAAAATTTTTTGCAGGTTCCTTGTGTCAAAACGGCTGATTCGCCCGATCTAATCCCAACCAAAAAATTATTTGATCTCATTGAGCCTCTGGGCTTTTACGGATCAATTAGAATTCCAAATGAAAATTCAGAAAAAATTCCCAAGAAAGAGGGGAAAATCGAAAAGTTTATGGTGAGAAGAACTCGGCCAGAAGTTAGAGACCATCATTAAAAATTGGAAAAGTGGCAATAGCCCGAGAAATTCGACTTAAATGGACTTATTGGACTTCTGATTCCTATCGTAAAGTTCAAAAAGGGTTAGGTTAGAATATACCAAAAACCCAGAATTTCAATCAAAAATCTCAACCAAAAAAGTGAGCTTTTGCAGGTTCCTCGTGTCAAAACGGCTGATTGGCCCGATCAAATCCCAACCAGGCCCGAAAAAAGAAGAGAACAAGTGCAAGTGATGAAGTGAGAGACGATTTGTGATGCCCGCCGGCTCGGTCGACAAGCAGGAAGAAGGAGGAAAAGCCGAAGAAAGCGATGTGATGAGAGGAGGGCGGCACTGATTGAGTTTTCGGCTCGTCGGCCGATGAGTTGCCGTCGCGGCTCAAGGAGTCGCCTCGACGGCTCTTTTTCGTCCGGTTATTAGATCACGGGCCATGTCGAGGGGGACAAGGTCACCGGCTTTCGTTCGATCCGCACCAGGAACGGACTTTTTGCAAAAGGTGTCAATGAAAAAAGAGAGGAAAGTGCGCTTTACTGATAATTTTATCTAAAATCCTCAAAAAACCACGGAATGCCGATTTAAAAAGTAAGGAAAGTGCGCTCCATCGATAATTTTTTGCAAAAACCTCAAAAAAACCACGGAAAATAATGCCGATGAAAAAAGAAAGGAAAGTGCGCTCCATCGACAATTTTTGCAAAAACCTCAAAAAAACCACGGAAAGTAGTGCCGATTTAAAAAGTAAGGAAAGTGCGCTCCACTGATAATTTTATCTAAAATCCTCAAAAAACCACGGAAAAATGCCGATGAAAAAAGTAAGGAAAGTGCGCTCTATCGATAAATTTCCTGAAAATTTCAACAAAAAACACAGAATGGTTACGATAAAGAACGAAAGTGCGCTCCACTGATAATTTTTAGCAAAAATCCTCGAAGAACTCAAAAAATGGTATCGAGATGTCAAACTGTAAGTCTAAAATGCCTTCAAAAGTTCAAAAACTATGATGATTCCCAATTTTCTCACTCCAAAAAGCTTGTTTTTCTGTGAAATTCAACACCTAGACAAGGGAAATAACAAAAGTCTTGCGGAACGAATTTTGATGCAAAAGAATGCTTGAAGAAATTGACAAGAAGTGACGAACAACAACGCCAATTTGGCCAGGAATTATTTTTCGCATATTCCATAAATCATTCAGTTCGAATGGTTCCTTTGTTCCTGTTAGGGAAAAAGGAAAAGCTCAAAAACGCTTTATATCTCATCCGATATATCTCATCCAAAAAAATTAGTATGAGGAAATCAATAAAGTTGAATAAAAAAATCATTTTCAAGGCCTTAAAAATGGCTAATTTCAAAAATAGAGTTCGAAAAATGTTCCATGTCACTAAATAATTTGAGAATTTAGAAAATTTAAAAATATTAGAATAAAAGTGAACCGCATGGCATGCTGGAAAAGTCGGTCGGTCTATTTGGAAAACTAGGCCACGCCGCAACTTCGCTCCACGGAACGCTTTGAATTTCTAACTTTTTTTTCCAAATTTTTCTTCCTTTTTCAATTTTGAAAAGGTTTTCGCTCATTCTTTCATTCAACACTATCGTTCTCGTGTTCCATGGAGCAAAATTGCGGCGTGGCCTAGTTTTCCAAACCGACCGACCGACTTTTCCAGCATGCCAAACCGCATAGAACCGCGGCTAAACTTAACATCTAGCGGTTATCAAACTTTTGCGCCCGACCTCGACCGACTTTCGTGCGATCGCGCGCAAGTAGTTTTCGGTCGGGCGCACTTCAGGGAAACTCTTTTTGACCGCGTTGAGCCGTTTTTTGCGGCAACGCGGCTTTTCCAATTATGCGAAAAGCTCTCCACTTAATAATAAAGCCACTTCGTGAATTTTAACAATTCGAAGATCAAAAAAATTGCCTACAACAAAAAAAATCGATAAAAAACTAAAAAAAAAAACCTACAGTACTCCAAAGAAAAAAAAACCCACAAACGACTTCGGCGGTGTGTAAAGTCCGCATTTTGCCGTCGAGTAGAGTTTTCGGGCGACAGAAGCCGTCGGATGACGTCATCGCGGCGCTTGATGACGTCAGAAGTTTCTTGTCGACGTTCGACGATTCGCCACTCGTCGACGGCCTCATGAAACAGTGGAACGCGCCGCGGACGCATGCGCAGCATGACGTCATCAACCAATGGGGTGTACTGTAGGTGGGTTACTGTATTTCATGGAGGACGTTACGAAGTCGGAGCGGAAAATGACCGAAATGCGAGTGCAAAAGAGAAAAAAAAGAAAGTGACGTCAAAAAAAAGAAAAACTTCTGAAAAAGATTACTGTAATCAAAAATAACGGAATGACGTCATGAAACCTATGAATAAGGTTACTGTAAGTGAAAAAGAAGCTGATGACGTCATTAAACTCAAAAAATATCTATAGGGGAGAAGAAAATGACGTCATGACGAAAGTTTTCCATAAACAAATTATGACGTCATAATATTGCTGATCAATTTTACTGTGGGAATAAGCAAATGACGTCACTAACTTTTGAAAATTTTTCTTTGCTAGAGTCATTAGATGACGTCATAATATTCAGACAAGGTTACTTTAATCAAGGGAGAGAAGAAATGACGTCATCAAAATTCTGAAGCAAGTTAAATCCGAAAGTAGAAGTGATGACGTCATTAAATTCAAATAAATATTTTTAAGAAAAAAAGAAAATGACGTCATAAACTCCGGAAAATTTTACTTAACAAAAATTAATTGATGACGTCACAATACTCGGAGCAAGGTTATTCTAATCAAGGGAGAAGGAGTGACGTCATAAAAATTTTAAAAATAGTAGCTTCAGAATATGTACGGTTTAATGACGTCATCGAACTTCTGAAGCGAGTTTAAAAAAAATAGGAGTAATGACGTCATGAAACTCTTGTTAAACTCTTTGGGAATAAAGGAAAATGACGTCATGAATAGAATTATCCAAAAATAAAGTATGATGTTATAATAATTCTGAAAAAAAGTTACTGTCAAAAAAGTAAATGAGTGACGTCACTAACTCCGGAAAATTTTACATACCAAAAATTAATTGATGACGTCACAATACTCGGAGCAAGGTTATTGTAATCAAGGGAGAAGAAATGACGTCATGAACGATCAATAAGAGGTTGCTTCAGAAAATAAACGACTTAATGACGTCATCAAACTTTTAAGTGAGGCTTCGGTTAAAAGGCAGATGATGAAGTCATAAAAAAGGTCTGCAATATTAAGAAAGATAAAATGACGTCATAAAAGTTTTATGAAAGGTTGATTCAGAAAACATGCTTCTTAATGACGTCATGGAACGTTTAGGCAATGATAGAATTTAAAAATTTGATGATGACGTCATGAAAGAGGTCATCAGCATGAGAATAGAAAATGACGTCATAGAAGTTCTGTGAAAGGTTGCTTCAGAAAATGTGCGTCTTAATGACGTCATGAAATTTTTGGGCGAATTCGGATTTTTTAAATAATGATGATGACGTAATAAAAGAGGTCGTCAGCATCAGAATAGAAAATGAGGTCATGAAAATTTTATAAAAAATGGATGGTGACGTCATGAAAAGGAAATTTAGATCTGCAGTACTAATTTCTTAAAAAAAATCATTGAATAAACTTTATTTGGTGACGGTAACTTTTATAGATTTTTTTGATCAAAAAAATTTTTCATTTTTTTCTCATTATTTCCAGTGAAGAAGCATCGATAAAAAAATCTGAAAAAGAGAAAAAAAAACGAACAAATTGGAAGAAAAAAATGGGCTTTTTCGCCTCGCCGTCACACACGCGAGTTCATCCTCCTTCATGTGAAATTTGATGCCAACGACTCTCTGGATTTTTGTTTCTTTCTTTAAAAAAATTGGTCAACGACTGTTTCATTTTTAAAAAAATCGAAAAAAATTCAAAAAGTCGTTTTTCTGGCAATTTTTTTCTTTTTTTGAAGTTTGCGCTCAGATAATTCTAGTTTTTAAATAGTAAATTTCAAGAAATGAATTCTACGAAATTCGAAGAAGCAGTTAAAGAAACGGCGCGCCCGATCCTAAACGACTATCCACCCAAAAAAATGCTAATTTTTTGCAAATTTTTTTGAATTTTTGAATCACGTTGAGCCATTCTCCATGCGACCAGGCATTTTCAAAGTGTTAAAAATTTTTTTTGAAGTTCCAGATTCTGTAGAAAAAAAACTTGGAAGAGTCAAAAAAAATTGTAATTTTTTTCTACCCAAACATTTTATTGAAAAGTTGTGAAACTTTTTTTCAAATATTTTTCCATTGAAACAGGAAAGTCGATGAAAATTAAATTTGTTGTTTTTTTCAAAAATTCAATGTTAATAATAGTTCATTCACCATCATTTACCACTATTCCTTCATCTATAAGTAAAAAAAAGCTTTAGAATAATTTTAGGCGTATTAAAACAAAATCGGAAGGAACTGTGTCTAGTATGAACCCAGTCAACCAAACGAGAAACCGTGACGCGACCGCAACGCGTCGAGCCATTCTAAATGCGGCCAAAAAACTTCCAAAAATAAAAAAAAAATCCATTTTTTCTGGAAAATATCCAATTAAGATACGAGATCCAAAGAAAAAAGAAGAAGAGGAGGAAAAAAAGAGTTGGAAGATAGAAAACAGGAAAAGAATTAAGTGCGCGAGTCCCTCAAGCGATTCTTTTCTCTTTCCGCCAAAATACTCTTTTGTGTTGGGAAGAGACCGAAATTGGCAAGTTTTTTCGGAAATTCTGAGAATTCGCGCTCCAGTGATAAATTTCATATCGGACCGCCAAATTTATATTTTTAAATGCGTCAAAAAATACTCAACGATAATTTCTTGCAAAAAATCAGTAAATAGCTTTCTGGTCGTTATATAAAGATTTGAAGCGTTGCGGTTCGAAAATTGTCCCGAATAAAAAAATTCCAAAAAAATTTCCGAAAAAAATCTTTAATTTCTGGTTTAATAGGTGATTTTTTTCGGATTTTTTTCAGGATTCTAAACTTCAATCAGAAAAAAATACTAATTATTTTTTTCATATTTATTTTTGAAAAAAATCTTATCGAGCAAAAAAATAATGAGAGAACAGCTGATAAAACGAAAAAAAGGCGCTAAAAAGCGAACATTTGCGCTCAATGATAAATTACCATATTGAAGCCCTAAATTTGATTTTTTTAAACAGTCGTAGGATAGCATAAAAAAATAAGCAATTGCTTAAAATTTTTCTGATAGTTATAAAAAAAGACGCGTTGCGGTCGCGCTGCGGTTCAATTATAGATCAAATTTCCCAGAAACTTTCAGTTTGGCACAAAAACGGAAAAAAACTATTTTTTTAGGAATCTCAAGGACTTTCGAAGTTTCTGTAGATAGATTTCACTAGGAAAAAGCAAGATTGAATTTTTGTCTCTTTTTTTGAAAAATACGTCTTGAAAAAGTTATAATAACCAAATTCATCGTTTTTTTCTGGTTGTTTAAAAAGAAAATTTGATGAAACTGGTGCAGTATATTTCTAACCAGAAGCCCGAAAAAATTCGGAGAAACTCGAAAAAATCCAAAATTTCCTCCAAGTTAGTTATTGGCTTTCAAAAGTCCACAAGTCCAGGGAAAATTCGAAAATTTGAGCCTACAAAATCGGAAATTTATAGGAAAACAGCCTGAGAACGCAGAAAAAGATCCAATTAGCTAAGACAGGCTCCGCCCCTTTTTTTTTCGGTGGCGACAGATGGGACCTCATCGAGTTGTACATGAAAATATATTTAGTTTAGGATATTCTTAATAAAAAAATAAATGAAATTTTGAACTTCTCATCAAAAAAATTATTGAAATTTTTCAAGCTTTCCACGGGCCTTTTTTTGTTGAAAAGAAAAAAATACAAAACCGAAAAAAATTAGATTCAAAAATCGAAAAAAAATGTTCTTGGCACTTGAAATGGTTCAAATTAGTGCTTTTTTCATATTTTTGAAGAGGCATGCGCAAGTCGTTTCAGGTCGGGCGCAAGCCGCTGCGAGCAACCTAATGCAATAGAAGCTTAGATTGACGGAAAAAGGTTAGTTTGCGAAAATCGAGAGAAAATAGTCGATTTTAGTATTCTCAAATTGATCCGTCTTTGGAAACCTATGTCCTCTGGATTTAAAAAAGAAATTTTTAGGCATCGAACTTAAAAAATTCGTGAAACTTAACACAGAAATGGGGATCTTCTGGACTTACACTATAATTTTCACACTCTTCCTAAATTTTGAATTGGATGATGAGCTGAAAAATTGAGTTTATTCTTTAAAAAGTATCTTTTTTCCAATAAAAATTTTTTTCTGGAGCTGGGAAAATGTTTGTGGCCACTATAGGGTTTTGACGTTTAAGTGGTCACTATAGTAGTAAAATTGGTAACCACTTAAGGGGTTAAAAATTAGTGGCAACTATAGAGGTCTAAGTGCTACTACTAGACCACTAAAAATTTAAGTGGCCACTTTAGGGGTCAATGGATCAAAATAACTGGTCCAATCTGTTTGTTTTAGAATTATTAGAGTTACTGGAAGGAATACTGGATGAAAAACTACTGAAGTGGCCACTAAAACGGAAAATAGTGGCCACTATAGAGGTGGGTTTAGTGGCCACTTTAGTGTCCTTTCCAAGTAGTCCTTGGCGAGCCTCTATAGTGGCCACTATAAATTTTCCCAGTCTAAATTTCACTTCAAAAGGTGATTTTGTATATTTCCTTTTCAACAATAGAAAAGGCTTTCTCTGTAAAAATCATCTACAAAAATCTTTCTTATCAGCAAACAGTTCTTTTCCACGATTCTGAAAAACAAAAACAGCTTGAGGATGGAATAAATATTGACGGACAAAATTTGTTGAGACGGGAGGAATTTTATTGACAATGAGGATGTGAGTGGCGGGAAGGACGATGCCTTGAAATATTATCCATTTCCCTTGACGATTGTTAATAAATAAGGGGTGGAGAGACGGACATGTTTGATTAATTGCTTCGAACCATTTTCAAGATTTTGAGAATTTTGAAACAAATAAGACAAAAGCAGATATCTACAAAATACAGTGAAGGATTTTTAAGCGAAAATTGTGTAATTCCTTAATTTTTCCTTAAATGGAAACAAATCTTGGCTAGCTAGGCTCTAATCACATAAAGAAGGAATATAAAATTTGCAACACATCTTGAAA